AATGATTAAAGCGAAAAACCACCACATTCCAGTTACCCAGCGCGAACCAGCGGCCCTGTAGATAAAAATCTCATTTATCTTTGTAAACCAACAAAACACCTATGCGATAGATTTTACATCATTAAGTAACAACGAGAAGTTTTTATTCCGTTTCTTCTGTGGACAAATATAGATTTATTTTTAAGATTTCATATTTACACCATAGACAAGAGCGATTTGATATTTTGGGAAATCTTTAGTGACGTTTAATTTTTATATTGTGAATTGTGATTGTTGACCTTCACCCACAGAAGAGGAGACTGCCCCAGCTGTAAAGTTGGACCAATGTATTCTGCACAGCGACCATGTAAGATACATTGGCCTACACATTGATCTTGGATTAACGTGGAGGCACCTCATCAAATGTAAAAAGTAGAAGCTACACCTTAAGTAAGTCCATACCGGATGCGAGAAAACTCGGGACTTTCTCTAAACAACTAACTCGTTCGTCAAAATCATCGTAAAGCCAAACATTTGGCCTCCAACATAAATATACTTCAGCGACAACAGAACCAGATCCTAAGAGCAAATGCAAAAGTACCATGGTACATAACCAACAACGAAGTTCACGAACCTTGAAATGAGAACAATCAAAGAGAAAATACTTGCAGCTAAATAAAAAAATCTGTCACCCGCACGAACTTGCTCGCCAACTCACCATAGAACTGTATGTGAGACGACTAAAACGTCACCATATTCTAGAGCTAGAAGACCGGCATTAGCTCTAGGCATTAGATTTAAAAAAATATATCTATATGTTTACTATGGAATATAATTATTAATAATAATATTATTTATTCCACGTAATTAAGTTTGTATAATATGTAGACATCTCTACTTATCGGTAAAGAATACAGAGGGTGTAGGCCGAGAGAAAAAGCCGGCGTAACTCTCGTAAAACTCTCAGTACACGATGGGAAGCCACTTCACGTGACAGCACCACAGACAGATTCGCTCATAGCCTTAGCTGATTGACGTACAAAAAAAAGTGAATTGTTAAATTCTAACCTTGGTAATATATCGCAGCCCTGTGTCATAATTGACCCCATAGTCAGCCACATACAATTGTATAGACTCCATATGTTTTGTAAGTTTTCCGGGTTTTGGTTACACGGGTGAGGATTCACCCAATCATCTTGACTCATTCTAAAAATAGTTGTGTAATGTAATTAAACAAAAAATTCTCCATGACTGTTAAAGGAGTTCAATGACATTACGAGAGTAAATTAAATAAATTCCCGCCTATGAAGTATTCAATTTTTTTAAATATTTAATATAATATATTCATACATATAGAAAGGTATATAACATTAATAGCCTTAGACAAGTCGAACACATCAAATAAAATAGACAACAAAACCCTGTTACTCTTTAATGTGCACATATAAACTTTTATGTGTATTATTATTCTTTATTAATTTATACGTGTAATTAAACGATAATAATTAAATATTATAAACATTTTAACGCTTCCGTGTAAAGATCAGTTACATATATTTTCCATATTATGAGATGTCAATCACTATTTTAATGTTTATTCGGTACTATTTTACAGTACATGATGGCAAGATACCTATTTAAAAAATACAAATGTGCTATAGGCTCGAATAAATATTAACCACAAACAACGTACCGAGCGCATATAAGCAGTACAAATGAGACAATGATGTATGTCGTTCCCAAATATAGCCACACATCCAAAGACAAAGGTTTTATGAACGAGAACATATCTGGTGCTTCTGCTTCTGGCTCCTTTATCAACATGCTGATTCCCAAAGACATGAATGGTATTGAAAAATCTACAGCCGAATTACGTTCGGCTGTTATTGTAAAGTCACACACCGCTAATTCAGCATTCTGAAATAAAATACACCAAATTCATTGTACATATGGTTCGAAATATATGCTAATTTAATCAACAAATCAAGCTTAATATAATTAACTAAAACGATAGCGATACCGTACAATCATCAATTATACAAGCTAAATCTTTGCAACATTTTCTCTTCATTCGGCATAAAATAAATGTTTTTTTTTACATTTCTACCATTAACGCAACCTAAAACTAATTTGATAAGAAAGAAAAAGAATTACCTAAACCTAATAATAATAATCCAGACCCATCCAAACCCTATAAGTGTTTTGGCAGCAGTTTACTACTGTTTCTTTAATCATTTTTCATTTCATAGACAACTAGGTAGGAACAGTTTTCTGTCTGACACATTGTATTTGAGACATGCCAGTTTCCTCACGATGTTATTCTTGACCGACGGAGCGAGTCTTAGAAGCACACATAGACAGAAAGTCTATTGGTGCACAGCCGGGGCTCGAACTTACGAACTCAGGGATGAGAGTCCCACGCTGAAGCCACTAGGCCTACACCGCTCCCTAGCCCAAACAAATATAGAACAATACACACTCCGCAACATAATTAAGTGTGCGCAATGCTTGCGTAACTAGTGTATCCCTGAGCTAGTTAGTACGAACACGCTAGCAATAGTTGCCTTGCTTAGTGTGGTTCGGTACTCGCAGCCCCTCTCACACATCTGCATTATTGTCTTAGGACCAATTCAAAATGTCACACACGGGGTCAGTGTAAGACATGGCAAGCTAATTTTGTTAAGTCAGGTAGGTAAACATAATATTTAATAAGAAGAAGACAAGAATATCATACATGGTCCAATAGATCGCCTACAATGCCATCCCATTTCTTAGTCCCAGGAACCCTATTACCATAATTGTCATCAGCCACTCGGTAAAACTCGTACTTCATATCCTCTTTGTATTTTGTTCGTATCACTCTAAATATAGCATCAACAAGGTCCACAGCATAGCCGCGAAACACAACAGTTCCGTTCGAATCGTCTATATCGAAATATGGTTTGCCCTTTCTTGATACAACCTAAAAATAATACACTTGACAAATGACGTATAAGCGTTCCATACAAATTTACGTAGCAACGCTTAATGATAATGTGACCAGTGGCTTTGTCTGACTTGGTGCGATTAAACAACAGAGGTTTCAATCAAAATATTATAATGATTGTACAGTAACATAGAAATATTATAATTTAACTTAAAGAAACGGTCTTTTGTCAATGTATTTGCAAAACGTATTATCTTTACGGCAGTTTAATTAAGTCTGTGGCCACTTCAGTCACTCGGGAAGTATGCGATGATACATTAGCTTTCAAAACCAAATTCTTTTTCAGGGATTGACCCTAAGTTATGTATTTTTAATATAACTACGCTACGCTCCGAAAACCGTAGCGTAACATTATGACAGTGAAACGCTCATCTCAATCAACCTGCTTTGTTTTAGTTAAAGAGAATTAATATAAAATCTAAACATTATTTAATAATATAGGTAACACTTAAATTGTTCTAAATTTAAACTTCCCTTTAGTTCGAAAAATGGCAATAATCAAAAGCTTGGTTTTTTTTAATAAAATGTTAGTATATATATTCACCCTTATAGCAGACTTCGAAGACCTTGCTGCTGATCGATCCGTGACAGCCTTTTCATCAGTGATCATGTCCGTTCTAGAGTCCCAATAGCCGGTATAAATAAACTGACTTTCGTTACTCAATTTCGAATAATGTAGTACGAAGTTAGTTCTTTTACCCTCTTCGTCGAATTCAATGTTACCCGTAAAACCTTTCGCTGGAGTCTGAAAACAGCTTTCCATTATGTAAATAGGCTATTTATTTTTATTAAGTCGATTTCTCTTTAAATATGAAATGAAATTGCTGAATAGAAATGTATTTATAACTGACAGCTGATGCCATACTTTGTTTGGACTTGGAAAAGCTAAGTTAACATTGCTTGATTATGAACAGATTAACAATTATTTTTATAATCATAAAATATAAATGTATCAGGGAATATTTTAACAATTTCCTTGATATTCAAGTGTGTAGGTAGTCTGTTATCTATGACAGCACATATATTTACACAATCAATAATATTGCGTTGGTGGCTTAGTAGGACACACGCTAATTAATGAAAGGCCAAGACGGGGATTCTGAGATGAAGGGGTAAAGTTAACAAATAAGTCATATGACCAGAATTTCTTTCAATTAATGTGCCGTATAGGCTTAGTTGTTAAGCAAGCCTTGAGGTCGTGCTGTGGAACCCTGATTATGCACCAATTGAACAAATTCTCTACATGTGCAATTAAAACCTAAATATTGTATGGTAAAAGATATTACCGTGATCCTTATGTATATCTTCGACACAGAAATAGGCTGAATTATATCAGACAGAACTGTCTTAAAGGAAAAATATAAGTAAAACATTCGAAGAATTGTGTAGGTACAACTATACTATAGGTGTATATACCCTATACATGTCTAATTTGGCAGTGCAATTTAGAAGCCTTTATTATATAACCACGATAAGTAGATTGTACAACAGAAAAATAATGTTTCAATTCAATTCTGATTAGCGCGTTAAACTAACAAAACATATGAACAAACAAATTCTCATTCCGTCTAGATATCATTAGCAAAGAGGACAATGAGCCCACCTTAATTGAAAATATACGTATGACATCTTATGTATAGTAAAAATAAAACTCTAGTACCTTAATAAGGGATTCTCGTAGCGCGTCACCGCTCGACCAGGCCGTTCCTTCGTAATCGGCTTTATTGTTCATAAAACATAATGCTGGGGGATCATCTACCCTGTAGGACCCTCTATCTTGTTGCATTCCTCGTATAGCCTTGTCTAGATGGGTTAGGGCATCCGCTGTTAACGCTGTTTCTAGCTAAAACCGAACAATGGATTTAAGAGGCTGAATACACTCTTTATTAAGAAAATTATTTTTGTATATGTATTTATATTTTATTGCTTCTTCAATTATTACTCTTAATGTAACGTTCAATTGTAATAGATACAAAAAAAAAATTAACGGCAGACCTCAAATTATCTATAAATTAATAATTATTAATTATCAAAACGACAAAATGTAATAACCGATTGCTAAACATATCAATAGCTCTGACAACCGCTCTTAGAATACAAACATATGTAAAAACAAAACAATTTATTTATTGATTAAAGCAAAACACGTCATAATACGATTTCCTACAGTTTAAGTTACAATATAACAATAACGGTAGACTAATTCTGTAAAAAAGGGAGTAAAAACTAAAATTTAACTTAGTAATTACTTATTTAGAGATTTTCCCTGTTAGGTTCTGGGATCGGGGACTAACTACGCTTTTTGTAATGATTAGCCCACTACCGAATTCACCGTAATGGATTTGACATACAGTATCAATATCATACTTTGGGCTGTCTCAACTCTAAATCTAGAATATAAATAATTAAATTGTACTTATAATTATTTAACATACCTACTCAAAAATTATTTATTACATTAAATATTCGATATTTAAATTACCTAGCGCGAAACATTAACATACAAAAGTTATAGCAAAAAGTCAACTTAAAACAGTTTTGCGAAAACTGGCATTTCAATAACTGGAGAGGCACTTTCATATTTAAAATGTACTCTATGTTGCAGTAAAATAATTTGACAATACATTCTTCTTAATTTAGTTACTCAACATTTTATTTAGCTGAATTTAAAATGAACTTATATAAATATTGATTTTCATTTTATATGACGCAGATGTTACAATAATCTGTTTTACGTTCTATACTCAATTAATCTGAAACACGTTTATCACTTACCCTTATTGATATATTAGCTGTATTCATATCCATATCTTTCCATCTGATATCGTTAGACGTCGTTAAATGCATCGTAGTAACGTTCGCCATCAAATCTGGTATGTCCTCCAAATTGACCGTGTACGCATCTAAATTTGTTAATATAAAACTCTGTAAATTACCACAAATTTATTGAATAAAAAATATTATAATTCTACTAAGATTAAAAAAGTCTTCAGAATTTTCAGTTATCAGATATGTAATCGTAAAATATTTAAGGAGATTTAACAAATAGTTCTCTGCACAAATATTCTCACATTTATACGCGTTTCATTTATTCACAATAGCACTTTTACCGGAATTTCCATCTTCTCATATGCGAATTACAATCTCGACGATTTACTTCTATGATAATCGGCGTAATAGACGGCTAATGTATCGTAAACATTTCATATATTTTGCAGATATGAAATGATTGTTGACTGTTTAGAGAGATTACCACTATATCTCGCAAGATATTTACTCGTATTGACTGTTTCATAGTGAAATAGATATTTATTTATAAAAGCTTGCCAACGCTCGGCACACTGATACATTGATAAAAGAAAAATAAAATACAATGTTTAATGTGTCAAGCACTTACAGGCAAACATAGCATATAAGAAATAATAAAAAGAAATTATGCAAAACAATAATATAATTTAAATAAACATTAAACGAAAATCGCTCTTAAAGTTAGAGGAGAGCAACTATGGATATCCAGATCCAGCTCGTTTAACAAAATGCTCAATCTGGACATCGGTGAATTTTGGCCAAAACGCGTTCTCCGGAAAGGAGGGACAAATGGAATTATGGGATGTCTGGGATATCTACTGGGTACACGACATTTAAATTTTGTTAAAAGGTTGGGGCAATCTACCTGATTGATCTTAATGGCAAACCATACATCAATTAATTTTCTGCGATTCTCCAGTGACAACATCTTGAAGTGCCTAGGGTTTCGTATGTTAGCAACTTTTTTTTCGAGCCACTGGAGAAAAGCAGATAGTCCAAATAGCAAAGATAAATTTAAGACCGTTGTCATAAATTTATGCATACTGTAATTACGCTGTGAAACAAAAAAAGTGTAAAATAAGGAATGAGAAATCCAATAAAATGAACCTGATATTGGGTAGAATTTTCCACCTGTATGATCTCTGTCATGTATTTCCGTATGTTCTCAACGGCACAATCAATTACGTGATAGCTCATGTGTTCCACTTTGAATACATTTTTGAACGATTCTCTGTTGTCACCGTCTGGGTCCAGTTTCATGTAAAATATTTGCTCGTGTTTATATGGCCATGAATTTAAAACTTCTTGCAGGCGGATGAAGCCTGGAATTTTTTTCAATTCATAGCAACTTAAAAATTTATTCAAATAAATTTTTATTTAGAATTTTGTTAACATAAAATGCTTTTTGGGCTTTATTTCTGAACTAGGTTGTTAATAAGTTTGTAAACACCTACAAACTTATTAACAACCTAAATGTATTTTAAAACAAATACTAAGGGTCTTACTAATAAAGATTTATGCACATCGTATAAGCCTGTTATAAGAAAAATGTTACTAATAATTCCTGAATTGACAAGTCTGATGTATACGGCTGTTATAACAAGTGTCTGGTTTGTATGAAGACTTGTACAATGCTTAAACAACGCAGAGGCCTAATTTAACGGGTGTATAAGGCAAAAATAGCGTCATTTGATCTGATATTTTTTAAAGGTCCTTGTTAATGATTTACACGGGGTTAGTCAGCAGTCAATCACAAATATATGCCGAAGAGTAGCAGAAGCCCTCGCTAGGAGAATCAATTTATAAAAATGCCTGGAACAATCCGTGAACATGGAGAAGTATCTGCAGGGTTCCGATCCATAAGTGGATTTAGAGGCGTGATAGGGGCTATCGACTGCACACATGTTAGAATTAAAAGAATTGGTGGTGAAAGTGGGCAATTCTACATGAACAGGAAAGGATGTGTATCCCTGAATGTACTGTGTGTGTTTGATGCAACATTGCGTATTCTGGATGTCGTGGCACCACCGTGCCACGACTGGAGAGGCAGTACTCACGACAGCCGTATCTTTAGAGAAAGTCATCTCAGACAAAGAATGGACAGTGGAGAGATCCAAGGACGGCTTCTTGGCGATTCAGGCTATGCATTGACTCCATATTTAAATCCGAGTTTACCACAAGAGGAGGCATACAATCACTCCCATATAAGAACAAGGAATACAATAGAACGGTGTTTTGGTGTTTGGAAGCAACGATTTAGGTGTCCATGACTTCTAAGTGTCATTAGAAAATGCCAAATTATATATATAACCAAAGCTATCGTAAATCACGCGTCTACGGCGATTATGTTTCATGCACGTTGGAAACTAAAATATCATGTGATTAAAATATCTAATGAACTTACTTCCATCGTCTTCGTAGAAAAATGTGAATTTATCCCACTGCAGCTTTTTAATTAGCGTAGCGTAGGCTTTGGATATAAGTTCCGGCGGTGGGTGATACATAAGCGTGTACAAGTCATTTTTCAGCGTGTCTGCCGGCTCCCAACCCATAGACAAATGTGATATCTGCAAATATAGTATAAATATTTTTAAAGCTATATTTCTAGTGGCGTACAAATTTTTAACGCAGTAAAAAAATCGTTTTATAAGTGATAATGGCAAAAATGGTCTTTTTAAAAGATTTTAAAAACAATTTCAGATTATTTATTAGTGACAAAAGAACCTACACTAATTGCTTTTTTTGAATTTGTTTACCAATACGGCTTTAAAAATTTAAATTAAACATAATTTTTGGAACCCGCCAAGACGCTTCTCTAGGCAATATGGGGTCGTACCAACCAGTAAACACGTAACCAACACATATTTTTCGATCAAAAAATAGTCTCCGACGCAATAAAATACCACGATAGTATTCAGATTAGACACGCGAAGACATTATTTACTGGCAAAGCACGTCATCGTCCATTCGACTAATCTGTGACCGTTTTGTGTTACGTAACTGAAGTATAAAAATCAATATCTTTAATTATCTATTTTTTGTTAAATTGATGAGTATTAGAGGCTAACGAAAGTAGATACTGGATTTTTTGGCAAACTACTTAAACTTACTACTTAGATGAAACTTATGTCCACAAAACCTATAAGCCTAAAAATTGCAAGCATCCACTAGTAAAATAAAAATGAATGTCAAAGTATCAAAGTGAGTTGTTCCAACTTTCCTTTTTACTTTAGGGCTGCCATGCTGATATTTTTTAAATTTGCCGCGCTTTTTCAGTATCAACTTTCATTAGCCAGACTCTAAAAAGTTATTTTACTTTATTACGCTTACTAAGATTACTCTCAATAACACTTTATTTTTCATACTGTCAAATTGCCTATTAACAACGCGAACGTAATTCGAAAATCAAAAATACATGTAAGTACAGTACAACAAAATGGCAGCTCTTAACAGTAACTAAATAATTTACTTAATTTTAGCACCTTGTGCTTCAAAGGTTGTTGTTGTAACGTTTCTATTAAAAAATTCTTAAAATAACAAATGGCTATATATATTCCTTAAAAATCTTCATTTGTCAATCTTCATTATAGACTTCATCGGACACAGCATTATAATAAATCTCACAATTACTCGGACAGAAAACGTGCACCCGAAATTAATATGAAATACTATTTTTCAAACTTATATAGGGAATTCATTTCAGGACTCCAGCCCACTTAATGTCGGCTGGCGCTGACGTTAAACCTTTTCAAACCATCTCATAATGTCCGCTTACGAGGTAGAATTGTAATTGGTGATGCTCCTAAATAAGTAAAGTAACTTCAAAGGTTTAAATGTTTTTTTATTAACACTGTTACAAAAAAAACTCAATGGCGCTACAACTCATCAACATAAATCAAGCGCTCATGATCATTTTTAAATCTAATAGGCAAGTAGGTAGTCTTCAGTGCCTGACACACGCCGTCGACTTTTTGGGTCTAAGACATGTCGGTTTCCTCATTATGTTTTCCTTCACCGTTCGAGCAAATGTTAAATGCGCACATAGAAAGAAAGTCCATAGGTGCACAGCCGGGGATCGAACCTACGACCTCAGGTATGAGTGCCGCACGCTGAAGCCACTAGGCCAAAACTGTTTTAATTCAAACTAATTTAATTTTAAATTATGTTATATAATCTCATAGTAGTGTTGGCCTGGTGGTTGGAGTGTATACCTCTTGGACCCAATGGACTTTACTATGTTTAACTCTCGCTCGTACGAAAAACTTCGTGATGGAAGCGACACGCCCTAGACCTAAAGATCCAGGTTGTAGCGACACTTTTTATAATTTCTTATGGAATAAATTGTCTCAAATATATCGGTGACCGTCAATGTTTGTAACTTGCATTATTTTCCTAGAAAGCTATTTGCTGTAAGTAGACAAAATACCTAAATACTTTTTCCTCCATTAGAATCAGAAAAAAACCCATCAATACCTGGTCCTGTGTCTCTACATGAAAAAAAATTACATACCCGTTGAAAACGCCCTACTTATATTATTTTTAGCAAGATTAAATGCTGTATGTAGACCAAAATCTAGTCATTTCAGACATTTTGCACTTACAGCAAAAGAAAATCTGCATTTTTTTCTTTACAAATACTTACTTCTTCCCATTTAAAAACTTAACGCTACTTACAGCATTTCAGCGGCGTGTGATTTTTACATTCATTTACTTACAGCAAGCTTAGGGAACCTACAGTTTTAGTGTTTTTTACCATTTACGACATTTTATTTCAACCGAACATTACATTACCAAATGACCCACTGCATTTCTAGATCTAATCATAATTATAAACTAATCTTACATCTTGAATTGCAATTGAAAGTACCCAAATACATAAATTTACTGCATACAGCATATTTACCGCCTGTAATTTGATAATATTTCCGCGCGTACATTTTTATTCCTTAGTTACAGCGTTTTAAAGGTTTGTGATTTAAAAAACTGTTTGCTGTAACTAGCCAAACACGTACTTATAGTAACTTTGGATAAAAAGTTTACATTGCAAATGGTGACTGGCAGTTAAATAAATATATGTTTCAAAAATGGTAGCAATATCATGGATAGGTCAGACACTATTAATTTTTTCCGAAATTAATAAAGTTTTTTGGCTCTGGTGAACAATTGCAATATGTCTACTTACAGCAAATGTGCTTTCCACGTCGATATATCGATCTGGATGGGATGTCAATGGGCTGGAGGAGAAAATTATTCCCGGATATCATAAATAGGTTTTGTAATCCGATTAATCACTTATGAAATTATTTTAAGACTTACACATATTTTTATATTTAGATCCTGAGTACATATTGACGATTCGCTGATTTTATTAATTGCTACGCATGCTAGACTCCTATGAGTTATTATTTTCAAATTGCAGAAAACACAATGCTTCGGAGAATTTACAAAACTGACTTTAATGTGATGGCACTTTGTAAAACTTTCCAATAAGTACGTGACATGTTAGCTTTTAACCTACTTTCGGAACATCGATTTTGACCGAAATCTCAACAAAGAAAGTGCAACGTAAGGTGCTAGACAACTTAAAAAAACCTTAGAAATTAAATGCTGACTTTCATCTAATTTAATAGTTCACCCTATTTATGATTCCTTACATAAATATAGGTTGTCTGTCTAAAGTTGCAACATTTTCTCATTTGACCACTTAGCAGATCAAGTTTTGATTTTCTAATATCTTTTTATTGCGAGAACTATAACTATAAGGGATACATTCATATTTCTTTTATGGGCCTAAAAATCAAATGCCCTGTAATGACAATGCTGACCTTACTAAACCCTGAATCTAGTGTTCTATAACTACAAAGTGCAAATTTTTAAGGAGAAACTTACGTATTACAATTTCGTAAGGCAATTTTTAAAAGCAACGTTCTCTAAAAGCTGCAATATGCTTCGTGATCGTATTTGCATTTATATGGATACTTACATTCAGTCTGTTGCATAACAGGCAAGTGGTATCACACACGCCGCCTGTCGGCCGCGGGTCGATCAGTGCCACGATGCCTCTATTGTCCGATGTACTTTGGCATACTAAAAATTTGGAATAAGAACGTAATTTTAATCCTACCAACACATCCACAATATAAAATATTATGGAAAAAATATTAATTAATATAGAATATGAAGAAATTATGACTAATAACGGCTTGAACTGGCTTCGCAGTGGTTGATTGGACTAAAAAAAAATTAAATTTGTGGCTTATAAATGAACTTAATAATAATCGAACTGGGCGCCAAGAGGATTTTAGGATTATCCTACCAAACTTTATAATTGCTCATTGACATCATATAAGTTATTCTATCATCTGTATATATCTTTTTATATGGCGTTTCCAAAAGCTTAACCAACAACTTAAATAAGCCTTCAAAAATAAATTCTAAATTCCAAAACCGCATTTTCGACGTCGGTCCACTAGAGTTGGTTTAGTTTTCGTTTTTATTTGTTACAGTTATACATGTACAAATCTTTGTTTTTTTTATTTTAGTAAGGTTTTCATTTGTTTGAGAGAACTGAGATTGTAATCGTTAATTATGAACATAAGAAATGTTCATAATTCTATTCTATAGTAGTATAATTCATAACTTCAATTTTTATCGATATCTTGTTACAGGCGACAAATCACATTATACTATTACTAAGAGTCAATCAAGGCATGTTTAAGTGTGCATTTTTAATACTTAAATGTCGTCTTGTTTTCTTAAACATACAGGAATACCGTTAAAGCATTAATTTACAATAAAACAAACAATATGTTGTAATAACTAAAGAAACAGCTACGAACTTATATTTATTGTAACTAGTGTTAAATTGTGTTTCGTTATGAAAGCTAGATTTGGGCCCCGAGACACAATACAGACTTTTCGATTTCAATCTCAATCGATTTCAAAAACGAACAGTCTCTATTGTGTCTCAATATCGAATCGATTTTACGGATCGATTTTCAAAAATGTGTATAGTTTATTTACTACACAAATACTACGTATTTGCACAGTGCATGTTCGGGCTTCCGTTTAGTTCCAAAAACGCCCGCGATGAGCTGCGCAAAATTTTCGTATAAAGATATGTATTCCATCTATCTGGGTATTATCATCTTCATATTATCATATTCGTATGGGTATATCTTTAGTATAATTGTTTTTTGTTATATATAATTTTGTTAGCTGTACGATTACGAAATAAATAAATATTTGTACATTAGCTATTTGATTTTGCCTATCATTCGTAAGTTCCTTTAGTTAAAATAGTGTAGTTTTTATGAGTAAGGTAGAGAATGTCATGTTTTAAAAAACAGTATTTTAATTGAATACGTCATTGATTGGCTTGAAAAAAATTTGAAAAGCTCACCTTCTAAAGCGGTAGAATAACTGTCAACAACCTGTAGGCATATAGGTCGGCCATGATACGCCCTCGTAGTGCCCGAGCTCACAATATTGTCGAAAGCTTTTGCTGACGTCGACAGTGTTTGTTTATTAAATATAGCCCCTGAAAAAGTAAACAAACTTAGAGAATGAAAGAGTTGCGAATAAATACAGGCAATTCTAACCTATTGGATATCGTGTGCTTTCAGCTGCATAAGAAATTGTTACACTGAGTAGGAGAATAATCGAAATCATTCTCTTTTTGTTTATACGAGCACGCGGCTCGACTGCTTTTACCGTCTGGTGTATTTTGGGAAGACAATTTTAGGTTACGTCATTTCGACGTCGCATGCGTCGCTTTTCGTCAATCTTCGGAAGAATTTCCTTAGCTCTCACACAGTTTCAGTAATTCATCTAAAAATTTATAGAACAGTATTTGAGAGATAGGTGAATTTTACATTTACGAAATTTTGTTTGTATAATGTGGCTATGGTTTTTGTTATATTTTATACAACAATGTACTGGACAGGTGATTGTGATACAAACCGACGAGATAACTTATCAAATTGGTAAGTAGAGGACTGTCTCATTTCTTTCCTGTTTCGAAACGAAAATAGGTTACTAATATGAACATTATAACCGCACTCTTATGGTTTCTAGAATGTCTTGAATTTGATTTTGTATTATATGAACCCTTTATTTACTTAGTTATATTACGAATATTATAAACTATAGGAAGTTATTGTTACTGTTGGTGATTAGTTTGTCTTTTTATAATGTTTAGGGCCTAACCAACATAAAGCTGTGTGTTGTTTATTGGTAAATAATTTAGACTTATCGGCACGAAACAATTCTTTCGCTGAAAACGAACCCAGGAGTTGGACAGAGGAGAGATCTCTGTACGTACTTGTAATTCCTAGCAATGGGAGGCAAGAAGATTATAATCATTCAAAATGGTCTTATCATCAATTTAATTATAAGGTGTTGACTATCATACCTTCGTATTCCCAAAACATTTTTAGAATTTGGAATCAATATCTTGTTTCTATGATATTTAAGGTGTAGTTATTTGTTATTTAATTACAGTAATTAATTGCTTTAACTTATAATGGGGAGCATGATGAAATGGTTGCAAAAGAGTGACGGAAAGTTTGTTGCCAGTTCGTCTCTTCCCGTCTACGCCCTTGATTTGAGAACTGGCAGTAGTGTAAATTTAGAAACATTAATTTTTTTCTGACATTAAGTTTCCTACATAAATAAATTATATTTTGATTTGAGAGTTATACGTTTACGTTTAAACATATATTTCAGCCGGTATATTCGAAACTCAAGCCTTAACACAGCGTCTAGCATTTAATGAGAGTATGCGACATAACCATGTTAGTGGCTCTGATGGAGGATCTGATTCCGATCAAAGTAAGTACCGCATTAGGGCGTCACATTATCCACAAAGTACTCTCATACATCTGAAGTACATCTTGACGAAAATAGAAGGTTAATAGCTATATATTAGAATCATTTAAAAAAAAATATCTAAACGAACGAAAATAGAACTGAAATGTTCTGAACCTGATATTTATGTTTTTCTTGTACAAAATGTTTTTGCCAATAAGGAAAATGGTTATCTATAAAATGGAAAATCATATTGGGCCTTCAGATCCAAAAAAAATTAAATGTCTTTTAATATATAACAACTCTTTAAGGTGCCAGAAAATGCGAGGTCCCTTCATAGTCGCTATATAGAATATACATTGTACACAATCAAACACTTGATAATTGAGTCCCGAAATCTATTTATCTATTAGTGAACTTGATTAAAATCGTTTTTTTGTTTACCAAGATTTAACTGCCGAATTCGATTGCCCCATTAAACATTTGCCCAACGAAAGTTTAGTTCACTGTACAAAAACAAAACAACTCCAAAGTTAATTTATCACACTTTAAAGATGAGAATTCTTAAAAGCTTCACTTTCGTGAAAAAAAGCTGTCTAGATTTTAATATTTTGTTTTAGAAATGAAGGATTGGCGACTCGACCCCGTTATACTTCAGCCGTCTCGGACCGACAGCTATTCTCTTTGGAGGAATCGTAAGGCATTCTAGATTGTTCAGAATAAAAATGGGTTAATTATTTCTCTCGGGCTTATTCAGGATTCTGTTTGTTGAACGGTTTTAATCTCGCGAAATATTGGAATGCTTTAATATTACGCAATGTCCATAACAAATTGGTAATATTGAGCTTATAGACATCGTCGCTGAATTGGAAAAGGCACATTGTGTATCTCCAGTACAGGTCTAATACTAAATGTTGCCAACATTCTGATTTCATTACCATATCAGAAAACGTTAGTCGGGCACAGAAAATTATATTGATACGCCATGGTTCGAACGCTGAACCTTATGTTTGAGCCTTTGTGTTAGGAAAAGCTTAATTAAAACCTATAGAAACAGTACAGCTTACGAAAAATCGTAAGTGCCTCGCCACATCACGTATATGGACACTTATTGATATTTATTGGATACATAGATATTTTATTCGTCTCAAATATATAGACATATATATCTATATTTCAAATATCGATGCTAATGTTCCCTTACAGTCTGTTCAAACAAAGATATGCGTCCGATTGCCGTATTCGGTCCACAGAATCCAATATTTGACGGAGCAATTCGTGACCAATGCGCAATTGCTAACATCCCTCACATACAAGCTACGTGGCAGCCAATGGATCCCAACATCGAAGAAATAATTGCAAATAATGATGACGTAATTAATGACGACGAAAGTAATGATACACCGGTGTTTAAAAACATTTCGATAAACTTTTATCCCGCTGCTGAAGATATTTCATACGCGTACGCGATGTTACTCAAGTACTATGGATGGGAAAATTTTGCTGTTTTATATGAAGACAACTTTGGTAAATTAGTTTTTGCTGTAGTTTATTAAAGTAGTAGACTAAAACAAAAAAATAACTTTTCATAGAAAATAAGAAATGACTAATCTACTTTATGCTATAGAAAAGAATTAACACTAGAAAATTTAAATTTATTACAATATTTATCTTAAATTTATAAGTTCTAACAACGTTATAGGTAATTTTTTAGGGAGTTATTCAATTAAGAACACTTAACTTTTAAATATCACATAATCTTCACTTCAATAAATAACAAAATCATAATGATTTTTCTTTTATCCTTTTTGCAGTGTATAAGAGTATTGGAATGTTGCTATGTATACTAAATTAAAATAAACGTGTGATATGTATATATATAGTAAATAATGTAAACTTCATAAGAAATATATGTTTTCAGGACTTATGAGGATACAGAAAATTTTAGCAGAATACACGGGTCAAATACCGGTAACTGTAAGGAGATTAGATCCCAACGGAGATAACTTTAAGGTACCTACTTTATAGTGAATATTTTGACTCCTACATTCCATACTTACGTATCATAGAATAGATAGTGTTTGGGGCATTTGGCTAAGTTTTGTATGGCTACTTGAAAGTCAAAACTTTAACCCATTTTACACCCGTAATCTATTAAGTATTCTGTATTACACATACATATATTTTATAATTTCTATATGTTATAGAATGGATACCTATTTAATATACTAAATTCCTAAATATAAAAATCCTTTAAAAAAGTACATATTCATATTCTTAAAAGCCCGGCAACACACATGCGAGCCTTCTGGGATGCCGTTTATGGATGGCGGTATCACTTATCATCAGGTGGAACTCCTGCCCGTTTGCCCCTATAAAATGTTTAATAAGAATTTATCATATAATCTTGATGCACAGGTATTTAAGGAGTTAAAACGATTCAAAGAATTCCGTATAATATTGGATTGTCATGTGGACCGAATTCTCAAATATTTACATGAAGCTAGAGGTGTAAATATGATCAATCATTATCAGGTAAATATATCAAGTATAGTCTATAATCCTATATCTCTATTTTTCATATACGTTTTACATTTGTGAAAACTTCATTACAAATATAAAATGCAGACGCCACGAATGAGCAACTTTCACTGATAATATTATTTATTATAAATTAAATAATAAAACTGTCTTTATATACATCTATCTATTTGTTTAACTATATCTATATAAATAAATCTCTCTAAAAATTAACAAAATAAAATAATTTTGAATATTTCTATATGGATAGCCTTTGACAACATATTTTCGATGCATTCATGTTTTAATTGCAATTAGTACAGCTACGATGTTATTGCAATTTCTAACTTTTTAATAGATTTCACGAATTATAATCGGACACATTCCTATATTAATTTTATATTTCACTGTCATAAAATTATTTTTAAAAATGAATTTGAATGGGCTCTAAAATTTACATTACTTTACTTTTCATATAGTATTTACCGTTTTTATATAATAGAAACCTAATTGTGTGCAGTAATGTTACCATTACAAATTAAGATTACTATTTGTATATGCATACACATTAACGAGAGAAAAGATCACAAAGCTGAGTTAAGCATCTTCTACCTATGCTATGGTAATAATAATTATTGAATGGTAAAACCTTTAAATACGACCAATTTCTATAGGTTCTAGTTAATATCTTAATATATATAAATTACGCGTCACGTTGTTTGTCCGCTATGGACTCCTAAACTACTTAAACGATTTCAATCAAATTGGCTTAATTTATTTAATTCCAAATTATTTAATTATTATTTGACAGTCACAATTCTAACAGATGGCGCTGTGTTGAAAGTACCAACGTTTCACATAAGCTACAATATAATGGCATAGCCACCAAAAAAGCATGGTGGTCCCCATGACTGGTGTTCTCCTACCGTTTCCCTTGGATAGTTTACTACTATGTAATATAACAAAAACCTTAGCCACAGCAACGCTTGGCCGAGTTAGCTAGTATAATATATAAATATATAGTTAGTCAGTTTTTGCCGCGCACCACCACTTTGTGGAACCAGCTGCCCACAGAAGTATTTCCGAACCAATTCGAATTAGGGTCCTTCAAGAAAAAAAAGAAAAATTCTTAAAAGGCCGGCAACGCACTCGCGAGCCCTCTGACGTTGAGTGTCCATGGGCGGCGGTATCACTTAACATCAGGTGAGCCTCCTGCCCGTTTGCCCCCTGTTCTATAAAAAAAATAAAATAATACAAGTTACTTTCATTTTTCCCCAGCATTATATCCTTACAACAATGGATGCATCAATTATAGCCAAAGATCTCTTACCCTTTCAATCCAACATTACATGGCTCAGTCTTACGGATTTTGATAAGCTAGAGGATGCCCAACACTTCCTGGCTACTAGAGTTGGTAAATGGGCCAGTGAAATAGTTCAGTTAGACTCACCACCTGTCACTAATATAGAGGTGACCAAATTTATATTTATCATATTATATAACAAATATACGAGATCTTATTGTATTTGGAAAAGGAATTAAATTAAAAAAACAGTTTTAGTTGTAATATGTTTAATATTATTTCAAGATCGAAGCCCTCGTTATGAACGATGTAGCCAATCATGTCCTTAAAGCATTACAAAAAGTTGGCGATGCGGAAAGTATTACAATAAGAGACGAGGAATTCTGTAAAAAAGACGGCGACCCCTGGCCGCTTGGAGCTTTACTTCAAGCTGAAATATTAAAGGTTATTTCGCTTTTGTAAAAAGATAAATTGAAACCTCTCAGCTCTAATGATTAAAGCTTTTAAAAGACCGAGTAATAAGCTTATGCCTGTTTGTTGATGTCTAACACAAATATACAAATCTATAGAATGTTGAATGTGTATAGTTTTTTATATAGAAAGCGAGAAACTTCAGACACAGTGTAAGTCATAAAATATTATAGTTTCCATCTTGTTCATATTGTAGTTATCTTTATCGTTACTGATAAATTAGTTAAATATAGTTTAATTTAAAGATTTTAACAGATTTTTCTGAAATTTAAATATGCCTTTGTCGCTCGTTTATTTTATCTGTTAACTACTTGCTTACTATAATAATTTGTACCGTATATAATGAATTTGTTTAGTAAAATCCGAATACCTAAGTTCATTGTGCATGCAAATAAACTGTTGTCAGCTAAAGAAGGAAAGTAACTTTAATTGTTACTACAGGCACAAACAACGGGTGTGACTGGAAACATAGAATTCGACAAGTTTGGGCGAAGATCTAATTATACTCTGTATGTTAATGAAATTCACGTGTCGACGAGACAAACTGTTGGCACTTGGATATCGTCTAACAGAGATAGTATTATAGAAGACCGACCAAGCACTAAACTTAATAATCAACAGCAAACCAGCAAACACTTTATTGTAAGCAAAGCTTATTTTTATTATGAACTGTTTGTAATGTAAAACAATGACAGGTTTATAGAGAATAAACTAAACAAAAGACAAATGTTTTTTTATAGACGCTCAACTTTCAAAAACTTTCTTCCAAAACCAATTGGAACTTTTAATTGTTTTATTGAAGTTTGAATTCGAAATATTTTATTATTCTATTCTTACTATTAGGTACTTGTGTGGCTGAATCTTGACGGGGATTTATTAGAAAAATGATACGTCATTTTCGTCTCATTCTTGATTTGGTTAGTTAAAAAAGAAATAGTATGGACTTTAAAATTTAATATTACAACGAGATTGGCGGGACGATTCCTTTTATTTTCAAAGTAGAAGATAAGCTGACCCTTGCCCACTTCGTAGGGCTACTTTTTGTTACTTTTTCTAAGTATTATCAAGCTCTACAACTTTTCTCTAAAACTCAATCATATCTCTCATCTTTAAGGCAGCGTTCCCAAGAAACGTTTTCACAAATAACATGGCTTTCAATAGAAATATAATAATACCCATAGGTAAAAATTTAATAGCTTCTGTAGTTCCAGAAACGAATCCTTACAAATTCACAAACATAACCTATTTATAAAATTACTACACAAAATACACTAAACTTTAAACAATTACAGATTATATCACGCAAAGCCAAGCCGTATTTCATTGACAAAATCAAATGCCCACCAGATAACGACACATGTGTGGAAGAGGACGCTGACGATAAATATGAAGGGTTTTCTGTTGATCTCGTCAAAGCCATATTTGATAAATTAAGACATTATAATTTTAATTACACCTACTCGTTTTTACACGATGAAGACAAAAGTTATGGGAAATATGATCCTGAACAAAAAAAATGGACTGGATTAATAGGAGACTTGCTTGATAAGGTAACCCAAAAAATTAATTAATTGTGATTAATGAGTTTAATATATGGATGTATAAAATAACATAATGTTTAATAGATTCTTAGATGTGACACAAAATAAAGTGCTAGGAACATATTACATCCCATAGATTTGTAAAATAAATTTTGTAACATAAGAATATTAAAGATTAAAGCCACAGCCAAAATCGGCGTTGTATACTTGGTATTGAATTGTTGAATACTTGGCGTTGACATGTCGAACGACGTTCAGTTTCGCGGTCATTTGGAGGGAAAGCCTCCGGGAAAAGAGCGTACCAATTCTTAAAAGGCTCTGGCTTTGAGAGTGTCTATGGGCGGCGTATCACTTAACAACAGATGAGCCTCCTGTTCTTCAAAACGAAAAAGAAGAAAGAAAGCATTGTAGCGCTGCCTTTAATTATTTTGATTGATTATTTTCAGAAAGCTGACTTGGCTGTATGTGACCTTACAATAACTGAAGAGAGAAAAAGCGTGGTTGACTTCTCTGTTCCATTCATGACTTTAGGAATCAGCATTTTGTACACAAAGGAAAGGAAAATATCCCCTGGATGGTTTTCTTTTCTAAACCCATACAGTTTTGACATGTGGATGCATACAGCGACTGCGTATTGTGTGGTTTCTATTGTACTCTTTGTATGTTCAAGGTACACATACTTTTTCTGAGTTAACTTCATCCAAATTTAAAATCCCTTTCGAACATTTGGACTGACAACTTTCAAGAATTTGTATGAAAATCTGTTTATTAGTAGTACTTAGTTTATTATGCTTTTGACGAAACTTTTACCAGACCATCGAACCTGGGATCTTTAGTGTTTTACGATAATAAACTGGCAAAACTGACCTTTTTATGACGTATTTTTATTTGAAAATCTCTTTAGTAGTCGTACTTGTGCTTTTGTGTTAACGATTTCCTTGGGAAATGAATTATTATGAACTGGCTAAAATAACTTTTATGTCACAAGTTTGTGCGTCACAAGCTAAATATATTGTATTCAATATATTGATCACGTGATCAATCTACGACCAACGCTCTTAGAGTAAGAGAGGGCTACGTGCCTATGACTTCCGTATTTTAAAAGCGTATTGAAAATTGACATTGTTGATAGAGAGGAAACATTGGGTCATACATAAGTCTCGACTCTGACTCTTACCATCATTAATACTTTAATTATTTAATTTCCGTAAGAGAATGCTCAGTGTGAACTGCATTACACCGGAGCTCTACGGAGAGCCAACCTCCTAATTTGTTAAAGTTCTCTTAAAATCTCAGATATAGATCACAATTCAGACTTATTTGACAAAAAACCCTACTATCTCCCCAAATAAGACAAATGACGACGTAAATAAAGAGATAAACAGCACTTATTATGATTTTATTTTTATTTGTAAAAAGGGATACTGCTACTTATCGTAGTTGCACCACTTCACATTTTCTTCGTATTTTTACCAGAATATCACCAGCTGACTGGGAGAACCCACAACCATGCGACAAAGATCCAGAGGAACTTGAGAATATATGGAATTTCAAAAACTGCGTTTGGCTTACTATGGGTTCCATAATGACACAAGGATGTGACATTCTACCTAAGTATACAAATTTAATAAACACCACAAATTAATTCGCCTTAATAACAGTTTTAGTATTTAATTACATTAAATTTTATTATTTAAGCACTTTAAAATTCAAAAATATAGAAAATGTGACCTCGTTTATGTAATTTCTGTTAGAGCTTCTATTATTTTTCATGTCCGTAATAGAAAATTTAACGGAATCAAACAAAACAATAAAAATTGTTGAATGCAAACATTTCTTGCAAAACAACGTACACAAATAAAAAATTGTGTTGATGTTATAAATTTTTGGCAAAAACATTGTACCTACTCTCACAGCTAACCAGCGTCTCTAACTGCGCAAAATGTAACAAGTTTACGATTTGATCACTATAATTGGCCATACCGTGTATTGGCCATGCATTTAGTCATTTACTTCGCTGATTTTCTCTCATATTAAACGGTAATTATAAACGGATCTGGTCTGTATTTATATTTTGTATATATAATATATTTTTTTAAATAACCGATAATTATAATACATACTAAACTATATTTTTATTAAACGTCAACCTTTGTCGAGGTCTTGCTTTCTAATGAAAATCTTATTTTTGATTTTCTCTTCCAATAGCGACTTCCCTAAGCTCTGGGCATTGAAAAACTCAAAGCGGCAACGCATTGCAGTCTAACACGTACAGAATAAATTATTAGAATTTCCGACTTGAATTTATATTCAAATAACTATTGAAATGATTCATACTTTCTGTCACTATATAAAGTATACAAACTTTAAAGATAGTACCTTTATGAGTAAATTCAAGTAAAACTTATTTAACTGACAACCTTAATAATCATTTATCAACCATATACTTTTAAAATTGTATTATTGTTACACTGTACTGCGCAAACAATTTGAATTTGTTCCATTTAATGAGACCTTGAAATTAACTAGTATTTCTCACTAACTATATCTAATTGAAATTTCAGAGCAATTGGTTCACGATGGGTGTGTGCTATGTGGTGGTTTTTCGCCGTGATCGTGTGTCAAACATATATAGCTCAGCTGTCAGCTTCTATGACATCTGCCCTAGAAAATGAACCAATAAACAGAGTAGAGGATCTAGCTAAGCAAAATAAAATTCTCTATGGTGCTATTCGTGGGGGATCTACTCTAGACTTTTTTAAAGTAAGATTAATTAATAGCTGATTTACGTACGTACACATATATACATACAGCATACTAATAACTAGAATAAAACGTGGACTTCTTTGCACAATTACGTTCAATTATTGCCGGTTGACATTCTTGATTTTAATGTCCAACTATAATTTCCATCTCTGTGGATTAGTGATACATACGTACAACCCGGAGCGACAAACAACAAATCCTAGGTCCAATTTTCTATATTTAAACGAAACTTAATTGTACTAATACACAACATTTTTGTACAATTTGTGTAACATATATTAATATAGTATTATACTCGTACACAATTATAAACCTTACTTTTGTATGAATTGTTAAACGGAATAAAATTCAGTTGTGAAGTTCGGCAACGTAGTTTTAACGCTTTGTAGCGATTTCTACTAGGTTGTTTTAAGTGTCTTGTAACTGTATGTGTCTGTCGCATAAACAACAAGCGTTGCAATGCCCAAAGTGATATTAACATGGTTTAAAAGCAGTGGCACTACAAACCCTTAGGGTCTTATTTTGATTTCCGCATCTGTTTCTTGGTGATTTTTTTCTCACACGTCGATTTTTAGAGCAAAAGCGTTCCGGTTTCCTCACGATGTTTTCCTTCATCGTACACGCGAGTGAGTGTTAAATGCACAGATAGAAAAAAGTTCATTGTGTTCAAAAGGCACTGGGTTCGAATCATTCTGGGTCCTGGGTTTTCGGCACGCTAAAGTCACTTAATGATCTTCGTTAATTCCTAACCTCTCATTAAGAAAATCATTTTAGCTTAAAACAACCCAAGTTTTGCCATATTTTAGAGTTCAAAGGACAAAATGTTCCGTCGTATGTATGACAATATGATGGCCAATCCAGTTGTTCTATTAGAGAGTAATGACGAAGGTGAACGACGAGTTCTCCACGCAAAAAACAAATACGCCTTTTTCATGGAATCGTGCACTATTGAATACAAATTAAAAAGAAACTGCAACCTCAAGAAAGTCGGCGGTGAATTAGATTCCAAAGACTACGGGATCGCGATGCCAGCAAGTATGCTTACTATCTACTTCCATTACTATACTAAGGCCTTGATCAACTCATAAACAGATTAGTTAATATGTATGTATGTTAAGGAATTATTCGAATTATGGAACTAATGAAGAAATAAAACCTATTTTGTCTATTAATAAAGTTGTAGATATTATTATCGGGCTATTTTTATATGATAACATCTTCAATAGATTTTGTCATGAAGAAATATAGTGGCTAGTTATGACTTTATGCATTTTTCTATTTCTTAAAGAATATAAAGAGATTTAGACTGGTAATTACGGATGACGGAGACTCAAGCTTATGGTGAGGTAATATGAGGTACGAACCCCGCCTTTGCCGTGAAAAAAAATATAGATAGGAGACCCAAAGTCTTATATCAGGTGCGTGTGTGATGACTGATGTAATTTAAATGAAAGCAAACTCAATAATTTATCTGTCCCGAGTGGAACATATTGTACTGGAAACTTCCTTGGAAACATTGTAAAACATACAAATGGGCGCTTTAAATCAGGCTTTCTTTTTATTTCTTCTCGTCTGTTAAGAATTCAAATAAAAGAAAAGTTCATTTTTTTGTGACGTACATTATCTATATATACATATAAAATAAATTATATTTTTCAATAATTGGCTAGGTATATCGTATAGTATGAACTTATAGAACACATGTGTTAATTAACAGATTCCCCATTCCGAACGCACATAAACAGAGCGATATTGGAACTGAAGGAGTTCGCGATTATCGATAAAATTAAACGTAAATGGTGGGAAGAAAAATACGAAGCAAGACAATGTGATGTAAGTTTAAAATTTTATATTATTAACAATACTGTTATAGGTTACAGTTAAAGTTATGATAACATACGTAATTACGTCCGGATCATTTAACTGTTAATACGACACGACGTTATAGTATTGCCTTCGGAAATAATGCGTCAGGTCGCTGTGTGATCGGCACATGCATCATGAGCCTTAACTACTTACTTCGCTGGCGCACCTACCCAAAATGATCCTTGGCTTCCGAAATGAGAGAACTTTTGCTTCTCGGACGCTCCCCTCTCCAATCAGGCACTTGTAGTTTACGTAGGTCACTCTCCACGGAGTTTCTCCAGCGATATTTGGGCCTGCCGACAGATCGACGGCCCTACTTTGCCACGGAAAACTTTACCTAAAGTAGCATCAAAGACAATTAGTACCATTACTTAAGCTCATTAGAGCGCTCCTCTTAATAACCTCGAGTTTAACTTTTAATTCCGGCAAAAAATATATTCTTTAAGAACACAAATTTGAAGATAGCATGAAACTTAGTTGCACTTACTGAATTTTATTAATAAAATTGGAAACGAGCTGCAACGTTGGTGAACGAACAAAACTAATGTTTTATACAATTTAATAAATCGTCACACACTCCATTGTTTAAAAAGCTAAAATAAGTGTGTTTGTTGCGCACGTGTTAGTGAATAGAAAACTAAAATAATGAATTACACTTCTAAAAATCTACCCATCAGCATTAGTTTCTATGTACTCTTTACGGAACTCACAACAAACTTTGGACTTTAGAATATGTAACCTGCGGCCGATACGCCATCAGACAGGCATCCCAGCATTTTTGTATGCACGTTCCAAGAAGTGGGGAACAAACATACATTATTGGTAACAGTATATTTACTGGCTGCAATCGTGACATTCATTCACATTAGTCTTAGAATATATTAAACAGTTTACTGCAAACAGATGCAATTACAGTCAAAATCAAAAATAACGACATCGAAGGGACTACTCATATTTGGTCATAACAGCCGATGGCATTGTTGTTAAGTACCTAATACAATAAAATTCAGCCAGCACCTTTAATTTTGGTCAATATAACCGGTATGTTGTTCTAAACGATATCGTCGTAAACGGTTATGACTGTAGTATCAACGTTTTTAGTTTGTCTTTAAAACAACATATTTGAAAACCTAATAAGTTCTCCAAATCATAGTAATAATTAAATTAAATTGATCCGCATTTTTTTATTAATATCATTTAAATGTTTTTTATTTGCAATCCAAAAAAACAACACCAATTGTATTTCTAAACCTAGGCTAAATAACCTTTCGACGTAGACGATTCATCGGCAAATTAATATGTTAATTTCAGGGCAACACTGACGAGAGCGACGTGGAAGGAGACTTGGAAATGGAAAATTTAATAGGTGCTTTCCTGGTCTTAATTGTCGGTCTGGTGCTAAGCTTAATTATAACGGCCGCTGAATTTATGAACGAAGTACGGAACATTGTGATCAGGGAGCAGGTAGGTTCACAATCATAATTTAATTAAAACCTTTTGAATATCAAAGATAATTCAACAATTTAATCTTAAGACAACTGATTAAAACGCGTTTTATCATTTTCACCAGTCTTTAAGAAACTCCTGTGTGATAAAATTGCTATATTGACAGCGAACATAGGACACATTTGTACAAAAAGAGTCCTATTCGTTATCAACAATAACGAAAGAAATTTGATTCGGTTATAATTGCATACATAAAACATTGTATTTATATTAATTAACAACCATAATTTTAGTAGGAGAAATAATGACCTTAAAATTTTCAAAAATCACCAATATTCGATTTTCAAAAGAAATAACAATTTACTTTTCAGGTATCTCACAAAGAAGTTTTTATGAAAGAGCTAAAGGCGTCGTTAAACTTTTCCCAACTCCAAAAGCCGGTACTCCGCAATCCGAGTCGAGCACCATCCATTGCCTCTGACACCACTGAAAATAATATGAAACGAGCTGCCAATATTGAGAACTTCATTGAATTCGAAAAAGAACCTATGTGAAATCTGTTATATATGAAAACTCATACTTATAACAAAGAAACTAATATGGATATAAAACTTTCAATGATCGTTAACTAATTGTAGATTTTACGTTTTATTTTTGTCTACCAATATTGTAAAATTACACTTGCAACAATTGTTTGGTTACCGCAGTCTATGTTCGGCCTGTTTGGCTTATTTTTCCTATTATTACCTACATATGTACCTACTATTCGGACAGCCGAATACTTGAGCAATACGGCTCTACTATACGAGGCGGACTATACTATACGTTAAAGCAGTCAGGTGAACAACTTGTCATTTTTAATTTACTCAACAATTCACTATAGATGCCAGACCTTTCATACAAAAGTTTTTAAAACGACGGGACGCATGAAACCAAGGGAACCAAATAGGAAACATTATTTTTCTCTATGTCATATATCAATTATTGAATGACGTATTTTTAACAATTGTGGTTAACTAAACATTTTCACAATTACACACAGGCCGAATATGTATGCAGAATATTTTGAATTCGGCAACTGGTCGAACATTCTATTTATTGCTAAATATTTTGTCTGCCATCATCAATATATTTATTTTGTTTTATAATAACATCGTATTTGTTATTTTATTTTTTATTTAAAAAAAAATTTCATGAATAAGTTTTAAAAATAGTATTAATTAATAAATCATTTCTTTTCATATCTAAATAAAACTAAGTATTTAACAATAGCTATTGGTCTTGTACCAATTTTTAATATTACAAGCCTTGCTGTGTTAATTATTTGTTATTACATACTATGATTATTATTCCTACATAATTATATATTTACAATGTATATTCGCGGATGCTTGGGAGACCCATGCGACTTCTTCAATATAAACAGTCCCCTCGTGAGTTGTGTGCTGCGATATTGCGGGCTACTCGATTGTGAGGAAGTTGCATGGATGTAGTTAGCGCCGCGCCTTCTTAAGTTAGATTATTTTTACACATGTGTATCCTTTCTATAACATATTTCATAAGTATCTGATTGTCCATGTGTGTTGTTTAAGAGCAAAAATAAAATAAAATAGATAAGCAACGTAAAAATGAGTGGGTTGCTAATTTGCCTAACTCTCAAAACAATTTCTGATAATCTAAATGCCTAATTACTGTTTATTTTTCGTAACGAAGTATTTTCAGACTAATTATCTTTTGTATAACAATCTATTTCTTTTGAATTAAATAATTTATTATGACTGAATAGTTCGCTAACAAATAAAATTGTAAGCCCCCATTTTGTAATAAGCTTTGTGAAATAATTACAATTCTATTAATATAATAAATAAATATGAGGACAAATTTTAGTGAATTTTAAAAAGATCCCTTAACGAGGTAAAATTAAGGTTGTTTAAGAATTTTATAGTTTTTTTTTAATTGAACTACTTTAATATAATCAAAACCCAGTGGTCTGATGAAGGTGACTGTTTCCCTAATATTTTTACATTACAGGTAACGAGGCGCCTAACCCATGCCCATGCCATTGCTTTGATCTCATACATTCTTCTTTTGTAGCGATGTTTATTATTACCGGACAATATCAATTCCAGTGTTTTCTAACCGGGGTTCAAACACACGACCTCAGGGTCAGCCGCGCCCAGTTACTAGGATAAACACTGCTCTTAAATTTAACAACTATCTTTACTATATAGAGAGATTCCTGCGTGAAATGTTAATATAGAAAACCTCTCAGATATCGGTTAAGTAGTTTATATACATAGTAATTCACGGGCTCATTCGTCCCAGTCGTACATTACTGAAGGTCACATGACGATAAGGTACCTGATGCCCCGCTATCTAGTGATATCTCTCTACTTCGTTCACTCAGTAGCTTCTCTCAGCGTAGCTGTTACGGATAGACCCACTAGAGTCGTGACTTGGTCACACCAGCGGTTTGGTGATCTCCCCCGCTGTCTTTTGCCTTCCACCTTGCCATGACAACGAGATTATCCAGGTTTTTTTGGTTAGCAACGGGCGAAATTACCAAAGGTAATAGTTGATTCTGCCTAATGTATTGATTTTTCTTTTTAGCAGTTCATAGTATGCCTTCGAAGAAGCTTCATCTAACAAAACATCTCATAATATATTTATTGAAATTTACGTACGATTTTTTATTCCGTAATAGAGTAATTACTTATTTATTAAGTAAGTAAGTATTAATATATTGAAGGTTAAATTAAACATAATCTATGTTTAATTTAACCTTCAATATTCTTTGTTTTGATTCTTCAACTCGCAAGTTTTTGTTTGCGGTTTTATAAACGTTATAATATTATCTTAACAAATCAACAGAAACAATGAAATCTGTCGTATATACATTATCTGTAATCTCTTTTAATCTAAATTTATTGTTATTTAAATTGATTGGGTTTTTTCCTATAATTATACCTACGTTAAAATGATATTCATGTTTTTTTATTAATTACTATGCTCGGTATTTTTTTTATGTAATAGGAGGCAAACGGGCAGAAGGCTCATCTGATGTTAAGTGATACCGCCGCCCATCGACACCAGCACTACCAGAAGGCTCGCAAGTGCGTTCCCAGCCTTTCAAGGGTATGTTCTTTTCTTGAAGGACCCTAAGTCGAATTGGTTCGGAAATACATAAGTGGGCAGCTGGTTCCACATAGCGGTGGTGCGCGGCAAAAACTGCCTTAGAAAACGCTCAGTTGTGGAACTACGGACGTCGAGGTGATACGGATGGTACTTTGTATTCTGCCTTGACGTCCGATGATGAAACTCAGCTACAGGTATTAATAAAATTTGTCACTTATATTTAAATAATTATATATACAAACTCAAATCCTGTCATCATTCTACTCCATTTATTCAGTATTGAACAATCCATTTATTCGGTCCACAGCCTCTGATCTGTACAAAAATATGAAAAACAATAAAGTTCTGAAGAGCCGGCTCTTGGTAGCATTCGACACGTTTCTGTTTTGCCATATTCTGATCAGTTTGCTCATTGCTGCTGTTGCCACCTGTGTTCGCCTACGGATTTCCCCTTCACATCCTCCCTGGTTACTAGTGATCCTAAATATAAAATTTGCCCACAAATTCAAAGTCCGGCAGTTCTCCAGAACGTGTGAGGAGTCCAACCCGATCCACTAACATGACTTTTGTCTGTACCTTATTAATAGAAAGACCGACCATTCGCTTGCTTGCTGCACTCTGGTAAAAAGTTCCGCCATTCCACGTTCCGAGGAGGCAAATAACGTTGTGTCTGCGTATCGGAGGTTGTTTTGTTCCCTCTAATCGAAATGCGTCCATATATTCGACATAAGTATTGAACAGAAGGATGAATTTCTGTCGAACCCCTCTTTGCGGTTCGAAAGACGCAGCCTCTACGTCGTTTACCCTGACTATTGACTCACTCTTCTCATATAGGCTGGCAATCAGTTTCACTGAGTGCTGTGGAGTACCCATCTCTCTAAAGATCTTCCACAAGCTAACCCCTCCTACGCAGTCTAAAGCCTTGGAATAATCAAGAAAAAAATAATCTCGGCTTTTTTCTATAAGTATTTTAATATGTTCGCGCGTCCACCGACCTTTGACTAAACCGGCCTGTTCGTTGGGTATTTGTCTGCAGATATGATTGTAAGCGTCTGATAACTATGTGGCACAACTAAGGAGCACTTTTCTACCGTGCGATATAAGAGGTACTTCTTCGATAATTTTCGCACTTCTATGTCGAGTGATTCTGCCCAGTTCTTTGGTTACTTGCCCGATTCCCAGATCTGGGAGTCTATCTAAGATCTACATGTCTTTTATGATTTTGAAACCTTTTTCTCAGAGGTTTTTAGTTCTTCAGCGAATATATTGTCATTTCCGGCGGAGATGTTTACTTTAATTTTCCTCATCTCAGATTCCAATATTTTAGGCTCAAGGTTTTCACTCGGCGTCAGTGACTCGTAGACTTGTATAAGTTTCGGCAATACAATCGCCACCTTCGAAATCGCAATCGTTACCTGATCAATCTCGGTTAGAAGTTCTACAATAATACATATTTATTAAACTTCTTCAGTCCTAGCCTCTAGGATATACACTTCTCTTTAATATAATACATGCCTTAATAGAGTATAAAAGTAGAACATTGTAAGACACCTGCATGACATGTAAAAATCATCTCATACCTCGTATTAGGTTTTAGCACAAAAGCGTTAACACTGATGTTTGTACTTAGGTAATTAAAAAATCGTTGCAATAACATTACTAGCTACATCAATATCATACGTTATGATAATAGCAGTTGGCACACGTATTTCTATTACAAATAATATGTACACAAATAAGCTAATCCATTATACCTTGTAGGATGTGATTGGGAGTTGATACGAAGCATCCGGGGGCTGCACGTGGTATCTGCGCAGACGCGTGCGACAAACGGAACCACAGAGTTGATATATCGAAACTGTGAGAGCCATTATTGACGTAACAATGACCATACTTTGAGTAACATAGAAAGTGTACGTTAGTAATCCATCATGCGACGTACGTGACGAGCAGGATGCGTTTGATTGCGTTCGCGCAGTTGCGAAAGAACGCCAAATCTTTAATCTGGTTCAGTGGCGCGGGAGCCACCAAGCGTGATGGCCGTGTCTTGGGTTTCTGTGGCCTTCCTTGCCGCTACGGCGTTAGGGGCTTCTATTGGACGTAAGTAAAATAAGCACATTTGCTAAGAACTAACTTTCAGTATTAATTTTGTTTAGGTATTTTATACATTTTTAATCTGCATCACGGTATAATTGCATTTATATTAGCAGACTCTTTTCATGGTAGTATTATAAATAAATTTCGAACGAATTTAACTACTTCTTATATTTGAAATAATACTGCAACTGTTTGATTCGATTAAACAAAATCTATGTAAAAATTAATTGAATTAATTTTGGTGTACCTTACACAAGTTGAGGCGTTATGTTACTGAGTATTTGCTTTGTTAATTCGATACCTAGATAAATGATGTCTGTCATTACATTCCACTATATACAATTTCAGTCACCATTAAAAGTATGAATTAGAGATCCTTTCAGATCTTACAAAACAAAAACATATATATTTTTGCTTCATCCGGATTCGAATTTACAGTATTTTGTTTTAGAATTTTTTGTCACTGACTTCAGATTATAAGTATTTATATAACCAAAAAGTATTTCTTATATCTCGTGAATAATTATACTTATAATTAAACTAATAAATAAATTTTAACAGTATTTATCAGACCATAAGTACCACCTACTTATTAGTGTCTGTTCCTAGTGCTTGCGTAAAGGAATACGCGGTTAGACTGACATTAACCAGTTATGTCACTTATATAATCGTTTAACCTACTTACACTTGGCATACAAAGCAGAAATTACAAACAAATCATTAAATATATAATTGACCTTCATACGTACCCTATGAAGGCGTCGTTTTGTATTTTCATAAACCCTTATAATCTGATAAACTCTAATTTAGGCACGTAAAGTTATTCCAAGAATATAAATAGCTTATAACCTTCCTCGTTAAATGAACTACGTACTACTGCTAACTATTATTATACAAACTTATCAGCAGTTCGCAAAATAATATTACATATATATATGTTGATTTTATATCGTTAAGTGACATTGTGATTGAGATATACACAAAGATATATTTAATTAAGCTCTGCACTTCAAGATTGATGCACCTCGTGAAGATAGATATGTATTCCTTAAGGAATCGAATACACGCGCGTTTTTCAGTTGGCCTTGAAGTAAAACTTGGCATTGGACTACTTTGAAAAAAATATAGAGACGTTTTTAGAGAGTAAATAAAAGTTAATTTTCAATCGGTTTTGAACAATCTACATATTATCAAATGTGTCAAACACATAATGATATCATTAGTGTTGACAAGTTGCAGTAGTGACAACGATACAATGTGTCTAACGATCCATAGATGATATTTATCATTTCTACGGTCATCAACCTCTACCTTAGTTTTAGCAGTTACTGTATATTTTCGTGGCAAAATATAATAAAATTGATGAGATATTCAGTGGTGTGTAACATTGCAACTGTATGAAAAGTAATTTATTACCTTCTTGTGACAAATATAATAGATATTTCATGACGCTATCTACCAGGCGCCAACTTGAATCTTTAATTAGTGCCTGTGCACTTGAATCCCAGGGTCTACTCCAATGGGAACAAAATCAAAGTTGGAGGAAGGACTAATATAATGTATTTATTTATTTTAATTATATATAGCAGTGTTGGCCTAGTAGCTTCAGCATGTGACTCTCATCCCTGACGTCGTAGGTTCGATCCCGGGCTGTGCACCAATGGGCTTTGTCTATGTGCACATTTAACATTCGCCCGGTGAAGGAAATCATCGTGAGGAAATTAAGTAACGCTAAGGCTAGCTCTTAGACCCGAAAAGTCGACGGCAAATGATCATGAAACAGATACCGATTTTAGCGCCGCAAATTTATTTTTTATTTTTATTATATAAGATGACAAAATATCATTCGTACTTTGCTTTGAATTTCAGTTTCATTCATTCCATATCGGACCCCATCACTGGAAACGCCAATAAACACCAATCGCATAATGCGGATTCTAAAACGTGTATGTACGTAGCTAGGTCGGGAAATAATTCGGTGACGGATCGCACTTGTACATAGGCCTATATCGACGAACGAATCTAGAAAATCTTAAAAAAATATTTATTGATAAATCAGGTAAAAAATAATCCCTGAACTTAAAAGTAGCCACCAACGAGTCGTTCGTATGTATACAGCCGATAGCACGAAATAGTACTGCACATTAGCCTATTAGTTACCACAAATTACTAAACAACCACTGCAATATATCACTAACCCGTTAATTTATATTTGAATGGAGTGTTTGTGTTTATCAAGCGACCATTTACCTTGCAATGTTTGCTGAAATATTGCCAAAATTAATATGTTATTTCTGAGTGCACTTTGACGGAACTTTAAAAGATTCCAAACAATTTACATAGTTTTAGTCTGAGGAAATGATATGCGAGTGTTAAAGACTTCCACCCACGCGATGTTGATTTCGATAAATGCTATTTACTTTTACTGACTACCTCATACTTATGCATCTACTTTGAATAACAGTTTCGAATTGTTAATAGTTTTCATTGAAACACATAAAAGCAAAAAGAATTTTAGAATTTCGCGTCCTACTTAAAATTTTGTAATCTGTTCTGCGATTTGCGAAACTTGTTCATATTTTAAGCTACTCATAAATGTCTCGACTGTTATGCGTTTATTATAAATCAGAGAATAATATATCTACAATAATGTGGCGTATGTTATTGTGGTATAATAGGAACTACGTTCAAAACATTTGTGATATTAATAATAACTTCATTTATCAGTCCATAAATATCATTCAAAAAAATGTATTTGTAAATTAAATGTTGCACCGTTCAGAAATTTAAACTCATTAAAATGTAAAAAACTTCATTCATTTAAAAACCAACGGTTTTAATTTCAGCCGCCACAGAAAAGCTAATATTGGAAAAATCGCTTTGCGGAAAAGTATGGGTGACAATTCACTCTCTTACTATACGTTTGGGAGTCGGGCAAAACTTACTGGATGCTATTGAATTGAACTGGGATTTCAAATCTTGTGCCAACCTCCCTATGCAGGTAAAAAATTTATGCCTTTTCAATTTAAACACCATTTAATATATACGACATAATAACACATAATAACACAAGAATAACATATAATAACACAAGAAGTAAAGTAACCTAAGTAAAATAAGTATAACCCGAAGGTTCCGATTCCCGGATCTTTAATGGATCAAATTTTGGATATGTTGAAAAACATTAAGAAGCATCCACAAGTGTATCAGCCCAACGATTTGTATTTCCTACAGCGTCATATACTCTATAAATAAATTGAAGTGATGTGGTATAGCTGCTAAAATTGTTTGGCAAAGGATTTAAGTTTTTTATTAAACTACTGGTCCAAGCAATGCTAGGCCGTGGCGTTTTAGTTAGTCATAATTTATGTGTATTTTGCGTTGTGAAGTAGCAATATATTAATTTATCTCACACAATATATTCATGGATAGATGTTTCTTATGCTAAATTAGATATATTTAAACTTAACAGCAGTCTCTGTTTCATGCGAGCACGATACATTTAACTATTTCATACGGGAATCTTTTACATTATTTATATGTATACGAGTGCTTTTCAGTAGTTTTGTTGTTTGGTATTTTTGTCTAATAGGCAAGTCATAATTAGCCTTCTGTGCCTGACAAATCAGGCACAGTCGTGACTGGAACATACGACCTCAGAATTAAGAGTCTACCCCCATTTTTTTGCGATCTAAGTCTAGTTAATTTTTTAATTAATTTGATGATTAATGTTGAAATGGATACATTGATACAACATCCTTTTAATAACAATGTACATTTGATGCCAGTATTAAATTACATAAAATAAATTGTAACTAATTTTTAATTTAGCACGTATACCGGACTTATTCACAAACTTTGACTGTGAGTATTATCAAAACCATTCCAGATTGGTTTATTTGGTGCACGTCCGAGTGGCTGGCATAATGCTTTGGCGGTATATGATGTCACGTCAGTTGCGGGGCACATCGTCACCAACATATCTCTTGGAGAACCTGAACTTCCAGCTGGTTGGGAGTCAGGTGCCGGTCTGAGGGGACCACAGTGTTTGTGGCCATGGGTCGGAGCGGGAGACCAGCATATAACTACATTTAATTGTTTAAAAATACAACCTACTTGGATGGACGATTATGGGTAAGTTTATTAACAGTTTTATTTATTTCAACCAAATTTTGTTTTTATTACTTACTGTTAATGTCTTGTGTCGTATATATCTAATATATAAAATTCTCTTCATATGAAATTTCTGTCAAAATCTGAAAAGTCCGACCCTTTGTCATCCCCGTTAAGGGTGGTCCCCAAATAAATGGTAAATTTTAATTTTTAATTTTTAGACAAAACATTTTGTTTGTATTTTTTTTATGATACAGCATACAAAAATACATATAACCCTTAATTGTCACCCCTCTACGATCAACCCCTATTTTTATTATAGTTGATAGTTATTTTTATTGAACTAAAAAAATGTTTCCAAAAAATAATATACATATATGGCAAGTGGCAACACAACGTTTGCCGGGTCAGCTAGTGAATTTATATTTTTATGTAATAAAATAAAGTGTATCATAAAAAATCTCGAATTTCAAATTAATTTAAAGAATAGAAATTATAACAGCTAATTGTCGCTTACAAAAACTTACTTGGCCGAAAATTACATCGTCCATAAGTTATAGGTACCATTAAATAATTAAATCCAATATAATTCCCACACATTAAGTACATTCAACCCTTAAACCATATTTAGAAAATGTATCCACAGTCACTCAGAGTACCAAAACATAATATATAAAAAAAGTAAATTGATAAAATGTTTTCTTATCACTGAATTATATATCGCATTTACTCAAGTAACCAGATAATTCCTCAACAATCTCAACTAAGCTAAGATAATATAACATTGTTTCCAATCTTAAAGGAAATAAACGGTTGAATGAGCCAAGATAAAATATTATTCACTCATCGTAAGATCTGTTTGTGAAGTGTCTCGTTACTTTCCTGTCTACCTATTTCCTCACAAGTTCATTGCTTCTAATAATATTCACTTCTTAAGAAAGTGCATAACCCTTTAAGAGGTTTCGTCTTAGTCAAAATGCTAGTTTCGTAGCTAAGCGTGGGAGGCGTTTGTAGTTTTCAGCTTATGGCTGAGGACTCAACATGGTCCACTTGATATTAGCGTGTATGATGACATTTTCTCAGTATTAGGTGAAGACCAAAGATGGTAATCAGCATTTCGGCTGTCATATTTATGCTTGGCCTCTTAGGTAGAATACCTATAGCTATCTTTATTGGTTAGTTTCAAATATTTCAAAATAACAAAGTTTGGCTAATTAATATATTACGTCCTATTTGTATTATACCTATATTTTACTAGCTGACCTGGCAACCGTTGTTTTGCCATGTATAATACTATTTATTATTTCTAGTAAATATGTTTTTAGTTCAATAAAAATAACTATCTACAATAATAAAAAATAGGGGTTGATCGTAGAGGGGTGAAAATTTGGGGTTGTATGTTTTTTTTGAATGCTGTATATAAATAAATAAAAACAAAAAAAATTGTTTAAAAAATAATAATAAAAATTTTGGTGTGGACACCTCAGGGTCACTTAAGGGTTTGAAAAGTACATAGTAGCCGATTCCCTGACTTACTAAATATGCATAAAAAAATTCATAAGAATCGGTCGAGCCCTTTCGGAGGAGTATGGGAACTAACATTGTGACACGAGAATTTTATATATATAGAGATAAATAACTGATTATGATCAAAGTAAGTGAGTATTCAAAAAATACTGAAACTTTATAAAAGAACAGGTATTATTAAAGAATAATCACAATTTTACTCAAAATCGCTATAACGCAAGGTTCTTAGGTTCGATTCTTGACGAGAAAAACTGTCTACATATTCATTAAGTCTGAGAATATATTTGAAACCCTTAAATGAATCCCAAAATTTTGTTTTTTCATTTTTAGACTAATAAACAAATTTTATGATACAACATACAAAAATACATACAACCCTTAATTTTCACCCCTCTATATTATCAACCCCTATTTTTTTATTATAGCGGATAGTTTTTTTATTGAACTAAAGGAATGTTTCTTACAAATAATATACATGGCAAAACAACGTTTGTCGGGTCAGCTAGTCGTTATCTTTATATATATAATTCTTCTGTGAGTGTGTATGTCACTGAACTTCTCTTAAACGACTGGACCGATTTTGATGAAATTTTTTGTGTGTGTTCAAGGGGATCTGGGAATGGTTTAGATTCACAAATCAGCCCGGCAGATGGCACTGCAGTCGGTACTTTCATACTTTGCTTAATATCCTAATCGCTTTAAATATCATGCAGGACAACGTCTGTGGGGTCCACTAGTAACTTATATAAATATTTATGTTTGTTGTTATTCTTTTATAAAATCTGATCTTAGGTTTTTCCTTTGTTTATCTCTATCCTTGATATGATATATTTTTCATTAACTCGATTATAACATTATCAAGGCTTAATTAAACGTAAGCACAGCTTAATTATTATAATTGATGCAATCGTATAAAAGATAAATATTTTAAATATTTGTTAGTACAAATTTCTTATTAGTATTCGCCGTGCAAATTGTTCAGTAAGAGATAACGGTTATAACTTATAATGCAATTAGAAGCTGAAAATCACGCCGTCCTTTCTTAAATTCGTCAACGAATCGGGTTTCAAATTTGTGGTTAACTTCTTCATATATTTAGCATGCTTTTATTTGTCTATTACTTATATAAATAATTATTAGAAATAACAGATGACGACGATTACGATACTTAATTTTAACAATTATTTCAGAATAAAATATTAAAAAGAAGATAAAATGCTCATACTTTAATACTGGCAAACGATATCACAGTTTGCTTCTTAAGTAACACATTTTTTTAAATATTTTTAGTAAATATGGAGGAATTAAAAGATCGATTTCGAATACCAGAGCTTTGACACGCTAAAAAATCTTTGGTAATACAATGCTATGTAATCTTATAATATATAAAATTCTCGTGTCACAATGTTAGTTACCATACTCCTCCGAAAAGGCTTGACCGATTTTTTTCAAATTTTATATGCATATTCAGAAGGTCTGAGAATCGGCTAATATCTATTTTTCATACCCCTAAGTGATAAGGGTTGTCCACCCCTAACATTTTATAATGTGCCATTAAAAAATACATACAACCCTAAATTGTCACCCCTCTACGATCAACCCCTATTTTTATTTAAAAAAAAAATGTTTCCTAGAAATAATATATATGGCAAAACAACGTTTGCAGAGTCAGCTAGTTTAATTCTAAATTTATCCATCAGAAATACCTACAATTTCGCGTTTCTGGGTTTGAGACATTAGAAATACAGGCTATCGGTTACATTCATTGTTTAAAACGATGTTACACCATATTTTAATTTATTATAAATCAATAACCCTCAAATATAATTAAATCTATTCTAAAATCTTCTCATGTTTTAGCAACCGAATCAATAATCTTCGTATTGGCGAGTTGGCGATTCCTGGCACACACAATGCGGGTGCTTGGCGTTTTGACACGGAAATTAGTACAGTGACCAGAGATACTTTCGTACTCTGTCAGGACCAATCTATATGGGCACAGCTTGTCTATGGCATTCGGTACTTTGACTTTAGAATAGCCTACTACGACTTTTATGAAACAATTGAAGATAGGTGAGTTATTTTTCACTTGTTTATACATATACTTTTTGTTATTGTTGTATTCACGGTAATAATCTATGGCCACTCTAAATATGTTAATTAATCTGATCTGTATATTCTGTACATACCGTTTTGTGCCATGTCCCACCCTTGTTAGTAACATTAAACACAAACACAAAATTCTTAATATTAAATAATTGAATTTTTCACTTAAGAAACTGTAATTATAGGTTTTAGGAAGAAATTGTTAATGAAACACATCAAATATATTTTCAGAAACATAATGAAAAATTTCATATTCTAAATAATTTTAATAAATTTTCAAATTGCCTCTTAACAATCAAATTGCCCCCCTGTGGGGCGTTTTCCCCACGTTGGGAAACACTGGTAGGTATATACACAAGCATCTAAATATATTTATTATGAATCAAATTTGGAATGTATCGTGAATTTGTGTTGTTGACTTAAATATCGACGTAAATTAAGTCACAGAAATAAAACAAAATTATCAACAAGTTTACGCTGAGGATAAAAACTATTAAGAACGAAAATTTAAACTGTACTGTCTCTCGGACAACTGTCAGGGAAGTGAAGCGCAACGGGCGACCGCGATTCGCGTAACGCGAATTCCAAACTCATTCTGGTGCAATTTGTTACGTAACTTGACACGCAAACTTCGCTTTAACGAGATATTCAAATCGTGTTTACTTGTGAAAAAGTAAATCGGGTCGACTAGTTCGAATCTCTCGCCTCAATTAATTTCAGTGTAAAATCCTTTAAAATGAAAAGAAAAGTGATACAAATACGATAAGGATTGGTGATTATATTCAATGTAACCATAATTCAATGAGGCAAACACATTTCTGCTTATGGTTTTAGTATGACCGTACAGTTAATTGTTTATTTAGAAAACCTTACAACCTACTAAACATAATACAAAATAATTGTTAAATCAAAATTCCGATTAAAAGGCTGACAGGCTAAAAAATAATATTACAGATAGAATGTGTGTACGATGTGGGTGTATATTTGAGTGTTTTATTTTTTGATTTTAAAAAGGCACACTAACGAAATACATACAGACACAGAAAACACACAACATACAAAAAACACAATACATGCAAGTACAACAATGATATGTGTACATTTAAAGGAAAACGTTACAATTATAAAAGATAATTTAAATGACAATAAACTAGATAATTTTATTCATTTAATCAAGCTACATACGTATAATTGGTATTTACAATTTCTTAACCTACAAAGTAATAATTAAAATTATTGAAAAGAAAATTTAAAACAAATTTAAAAAGTTTGTTCCCTGTGGCAGTGTACTGTAACGCTGGCTGCATTTCCTATATCGCTGTATTGCGATACTTATTCGTTGAGTCAGGAAAGAACCAGCTCTGGGGTCACCGGTTCTATCTACCAGGCGCCAACTTAAAACTAGATTAAGAAATACAAATATTAAATCAAATATGCAATTTTAAAATCATTATATTTCTTCTTTACAATTGTTAATTAAATTATTAATTACGGGACGCTGAACAAAATCATCACGAGTATAGAAGTTGTCCAAAGAAAAATAATTAATTAATTAATGTGTCTGCCTCATCACCCATGTGTCATTGGATCATTGAATAAGCATAATTATGTTTATTATAATTTCTATCGGTTTTTAGTTATCATTGTTGTAATTATTTTTTCTGTAATAGCTCAATTACATTATAAAATATATAATATAAAACTGTATATAATATTTGGTTAATATAAATGAGCCTCATAGTTTTATTCTGAGCGAAAAGTATGTTACTATGTGATTAGTTATAGCATTATAATAAACAGGATTGTTTCAATATTACTTTATTTCTCAGTATGTATGTAACATAATGTATAAAACTCTCCCACAAAGTTATTTTAATAGCTATGTATGAACCACTTGACGCCATCTAGTGAGGTTTGGCGTAAGATACGCTAATTCGCTGTTTTTTACTCATTAATATTTGTCAATTTGTCTCTAGGACAAATATAAATATGTATATCCAAAAATTTTGTAAAATTTAAAGTTCTGATTTTAAAATATTCGTAAAAGTGTATATTAGTTTCATTAGGTATATGCTTACTAGTGACTAATTAAATTAAAAAATACATCTTATTTTAAAATAATAGTGTATTACATTTTTAGATACTGGCTCAATCACAACTTAATTCGTGTCCGTCCACTATTACCTCTCTTGAAAGAAATTAGGGCTTTCTTAGACGTCACTAAAGAAGTAAGTATTTTTACATTTTTAGCCCCTACTAATAAAAATAAAATTGGCTTAATACCTCTATTCTGTGATGGTCATGTAATCATGGATTAGATATACATATATTGGATAAGATTGTCTTTGATAAGAACGAAAATTGCATACTAAGATTTATTAGATTTAATTTACTTAAAACACGTAATGGAAATTTTATTCGAAAGTAGTACAGGTTAAAATCAAATGTCTATTATGGTACTTACTAAATTCCTGAAAGTTTTGTGATTTATTACGAATCAATATCGTTGACTATATGTAATCGCCTAATTTGGACCAATTAGTATCCAAAACTAAAATAGTACCTGGAGCCAAATCTACGCAAAAAGCTCGAAATATAAATTGTAAACTCACTACCTTAGCTAGTATTTAAAAGATCATATAAGCATTTAATTAATTTAAAGACATTAATATTTTGTACGTGGATATATATTATAGTGAAGCGTAGTTTATTTGGTTTATGGGTTCATAACTGACGAAACTATCGTAATATATATCTATATATATGTACTATAAAATTCCTATATACAAAGAATGTCTTTTTGGATTGTAGAGTCGAGATTTCTCTTTTACATTAAGTAAAATTTTGTTAACGTTTCAGGTTGTATTTCTCGATGCGCACCACTTTCCTCTGGGTTTTTACGAGCAAAACGGAGCACCTATCAGTTCCGTCCACGAGGGGTTACTTAAACTAGTAAAAAGGGAATTGGGGCCCCATATAGCCCCTGCAAATCAGTTCCATACTGGCGCCGGAACTAGGGGCCCTACTCTACAAAGTTTGAAAGACGCAGACAGGCGCCTTGTCTTCAACTATGTAGATAACACTATCGTTGCTGGTAACTTTTCCTTATTTCTATTTCAATATATTACACTTGAAATAACTGATTTGCTAAACGAAACTAAATAAATAGGATAAAACTAATATCTTTTAATTATGCTTTCTAAATGCAAACTTCGTTTCTGCTTTTAAACATTAATTCCAAAAGAAAAAGCTTATTGGCCATAAAATAAGAAACATGAATTATCTCGACGATAATTTAAACACCGACGGTGTAATTAATGAAAACATAATATAAGCCTCAATTAGTTAATTACCTAATGTTTAACGATTATTTACTCACAAAGTGACACGACCACAAAGTGAGCAAGGTTTATATGGATAGTTTCAGTTTGCAACTCAGTTGTGTAAAAAGCAACCCATAAAGATTTTAAATTTAGTGGATATTTATTTTAGTGTGTTCATTCTAGGCCTATATTCTAAGTCGTATCTCAAATCACAATCTGGTCTTGAGCGCTGTCAAATCTATTACAGCAAGAAATGGTTTGTCACCTCACGAAACAAGATTTAAATGTATAGAATACGGGCCTAAATGGATTCACTTATAAAAAATAACATTACTCATAAAACATAACGCAGGGATTAAAATTTGATTAATTTTTTCGTAAGGCGCTTTTTCTCATTGGGAAACTTAGTCGCTTTATATACAAGAACTTTATATATTTTTTGTATATTGTATTTACGATTTGACATGAGTTTCATATGATTTATAAAATTATTTAAGTATTCAAACATTAATCAAACTCAAATATGTTTTTATAATATATGTACTGTTTTTTCGATAAAGTTTGACATCTGTGTAGGCAAAATCATTATGAGTTGCGTCTATTAAGAGCTTAATATTCGTAAATTCACTTCTCAACAACTGAAACCATTTCAATTACATGTATAGACTATCAAACAATTGTCATTTTTAGAACACCTGACACTCGTTTCATATACATTTCATTAATCAATAACAGAGAGACAATACCGTTAGCCCTTAAGGTCAAGGGTAGTTAGTGGTTTTGAGCTCGCCCTTAGCAGAGATACAAGTGATTAAACACAGCTTTAGCTGAAAGTGGGATTACTTTACTATACCTTTTATACCCTTACTAACTTGTTGACGCTCATTTTCCATAGTTATTTTTAAATAATATGAAGGACATGTTGCTGTTAACGGGCTTCTGAAAATCTTAATAAAGACTGGGTTCAATCATTTTATTTTAAAATCTACGAAGCCCCACAGCTCCCGAAAGGGCATAGGGAAAGCATGTACTATTAGTTTGTTATTGATAACTTTTACTTTAGATAAATAGGTCAGCATTGGGCGTGTGTCCTTTGTTTCGCTAGTTCGTCGTTGTTTCTTTCGAGACATTGTAAAATATCCTTTGATGCTAAGCATCGAAAATTATAAGCTATATAACATGTATGTAATTATAATGACAAAAATATTGTTTCAGAAAACAATTGGTTGTGGCCGATACTACCTCATTTATGGGCGAACACAAATAGCCCTAAACAACTTTTCGAGTACTTAGATCGCGCTATTGCAACCTCACCACAGCCGAACGCTCGCTCTCCAATGTTCTCAGCTATGGCACAAACTACTCCAACTGTTCTAGACATTCTATTCGTCAGAGGATCTCTTAGAGCCAACGCGGAAGCGGTCAACAGAAATGTCACTTCTCGACTGTCTACCGTTTGGCGGCAACAAGCTAACATCGTCTCTACAGACTTCTTTCTTGCAAACGATGTCATCGATGTGTCTATACAGATAAACGTTGAACGCTCCAACAGATTATGACGTCATGACCGACCACGGCATCAGAAACTTTTCTTGGACTTTAAGTACACCCACACCAAAGCCGTCTACCGCTCCCCTTGGCTTCCGATCACTTCACACGATCGGTATAAACCCTTGGGTTCACGCGGTCAATTGGTATAAATTGCTAATTGAAAGTATCCGCCACGTAACACTGCCATCATTGTAGGGTGAGCGGGAAATAGTGAGATTATTTAACTTATTTTTGTAAGATATCATACTAGTCTACGTTCTCTTTAAAGGGAAATAAATATGTACATAATATAAACAGTTTTTAAATTTACCACAACTAACAAAAACAACACACAGATTATTACTTCTTTACTTGTCATAAATACTGCAGTATCTCATTACAATAAATAATAACTAACATTAATAATAATTGTACTTGCAACAAAAACGAGGTAGATTCATCGTGCGGATATGCACCTATAGTCTATAAATATCACGTATGTGGTGCCAATAGTGGCAAAAGTTCTGCTCGACTCATGCGCGATAAAGCTCTAGCGTCCAGTCCCATAGCAGCAGCCGCTCCATTCACATCGAGCCCAAAACTCTGCAAAAGTGCAGCTAAAGCAACTTCCTCGCCTGTGCGAGGGTCACGCAGTCGCGGACACGAGCCATTGCATTGTGGCCATGAACATCTCTCTATAAGCCTCCTTGGGGCACATCTTGCATGCTCACGTCTATTAGGGGCACTAAAACGTTGCTCCCAACATCTGATCGCTCGGGGCAGCGGTATTCCGGAAACATTAATCGCCAGCCATTCAGGTCTTGCCAAGGCCCCGTGAGCAATACAGGCAGGAGCAAATGTTGCCCTCACACCTTTTAAACTCGAACGCAACGCTGTTCCAGTCTCATGAACTGCATCCCACTGCGCACGAGTTCGAGGAGCTCTTACGCCTTCTGCAGTCAATTGAGCAGAGTCAAACAAATACTGAAATACAAACAATGGCGTTCGAATGTGCGGATATAGCCGATATCCAAAATAACACAGCCATGGCTTTTCTCGAAATTGTCTAACGCAAGATGTCGGAGGAGACCCTTGCCATAGAGAATGGCCGAGTTTCGCTATCGCATCAACAGAAATACGTCTTGCCCGGGTATGTCTGTCCAGAAACCAGCCCGAGTCAGCAATAGCTGCCACTCGAATTCCATGTGTTCTTAGATTTCGTCTTGCTGCATCTGCGTGAAGCATAACTCCAGTTCCTCCAGCACTTGAACCAACGAGTAGAACACGTCCTTTAAGACCAAACTGCAGCAATTCACTGAGCACAGCTTTAACAATCAGACGGCCAGTGAATACAAAGCTATCATTGGATGACTTGGTTCGGGTTCCAGCCCACATATCACTTGAACAGTATGGCAGGAGGACGTGATTTGAGTTGTGCCATAGAGGGTTGGCTGCTGGATCCATGGATAGCAAAGCCGGAGCTCTGCGTGCTCTGGGCCAACGTGCTGAAGACATGAGACCCGGCCTTCTCTTCCAGCGTGCTCTGCAGGATTTAGCATCCCAGCAGTATCCACCGCCTTCCAAGTACACGACCCAATGATGGCTGTTTGTTCCGCGACGTATGTAGTATCTGAAAATCAATATTCCAAATTTAATTCAGAAGGTTCAATATAGTCTATGCAATCTATTAATTAAGTGTTATTTAATCCAACGAAAAGATGCATTTTGCATATATAATAGGCAAATACAATACCAGTCATTTATAATTTTTGCAAGTCGTTTTAAAAATACCATATGTATATTAATACATACCCGGCAGGTGTTCCATCGTTGCATGTAAGAGACGTGTTAGACAGCCACACGAGTCGCAAGCTGTCTGGAGGGGCCACGCTCTCACTCGCAGCGGTTAATAATAACTGAAAATTGACAGTTTATAATTAGTGTACGTCTATGCTGTGAGTAAAAAAATATGGCGATATAAAATAGCCATTTTAATTTCTTACGGATTAGAACCCAAGGGCCAAGACGTGTCATTTTCGAAATAGAAAAAATAATAAAGAAATTATAACAATTTCTTTATCAAGCTAGCTTACCAAACAAAAAACAATTTACTTTGCTATTACAAAGAGTTCAAGATTAAAAATAAATATTTCTTACATGAATAATACAACCATCGTATTAAAATAATATTAAATGCTAAAGGTATTTTATTACTAAAATGTTCTAAGTAATTAACAATAAGACGAATACGTTCTAAAAAAACAATTAATGTAAGAAAATACTAGAGACACTTGTTTGAATTATTTTTTTATGTCAACTAGAAAAAAAAAGAAATTTACTATCCCCGAGCTTTTGGGTAGACGTGAACACACGTTATAATTACATTTTAGATACGTTTTCCGCCTCTGGCGGGTTTTGAAGGCCCGACCGAAATGTTAATCCTATCGCAAAGCTGGTACGGTATATCGGAAACAATGCGTTTGAGTGAACTATGCCTGGGCCCTGGGTTCGTTTCGAGTTTGAGAATGGTAGAAAGTGGAATTAAATTTAAATTAACAGTCAACAGGCTAGGCAAGTAATGAACCGTCATCGATCCAAGTCATTTGCCTAGCTGTTTGATCAACTGGCTGAACATCTTTCAGGCCGCTAGTTAAACGGCGCCGTTTAGTTAAACGGCTAGGCTGTTAATTGAACGGCTAATTTAGGTAGTTGGCTGCGACATATACATAATATGTGTATTATTAATGAACATACCAGTCGGACGAAGCGCCTGTACAGTTGTTAATATATCTTTATAATAAGTATATTTTTATACAAGTATTTTACTTTTATTATTTCTCACAAAACCATTTTTCTGTGGTTAAGTTTTACTCTTTTATTTATATTATGATATCTAGTTACTTTAATAATAATAAGTTTCCAAGAAAGCTATACCTTTTTTATGTAATTTAGTTTGTTTTGATTTTTTTTTAAATAAAGAAATATCTATTTAATAAATTGAATAAATGTCCTTTACGCAGAAGTATAATTTGCATTACAAAAGGTATATTTGTATTTCGTTACATTCATTATTTACCTTCATGTTTATATATCACGTCTTATCTAGTATTTTCTCATGTTAAACAAATGTTAAAAGGTGCTACATAAAAACAAAAACTGTTGTATCTCTTCTAAGTTACTTTAAAATATGTATAGTAAAAATGATTTTTTATAGAAATATATCTTTCATATATAAGAAAAAGAATTACCGACACCCAAGCAACCAAAAATATATAACGCGCAATATACATATACAGCCAGCGTAAATGTCATATAAAAGCGATTTCATTATTTTTAAACAAAATATTTACTTTGGAGAATAAGCCTTGACAATATAGTAATTAATTTAATGTGATAAAATATTATATGATACAAACAAACGTTTCGTTTTTATGTATTTGTTTTTTTACCACTAGCAGCTAAATAATAACGCAAATACTTATCGCCACATTAAAAAAAATATCTCCCACGGATTTTTCAAAAAAAGAACACAATCACATTCGCACTTCAAATAAACACCGGCGTATAAAATTACGTACACAGAGAGTCCACGTGAGGCAGCAACCAGGAGGTCGGAGGTTGGTCATAGCCACTAAATAACAGCTTTATACTTCATAGCGAGCTCAGGCTGTAGCGCCGCACCCCATACTGACCGTACCACGGCATGATGGCATCGCCACTCGCCACCGCGTGCACAGTAGCGAGCCCCGGTACAAAAAGCCTCTATTTAGAACGAGGGCTAAGACATAGAGTAGGGTATGTATAGATGCGCTTAAGTGTATTTTTACAGATATGTTGTTAGATCTTTTATCTGTACTTTTAAATAATTTTATGTTCTAAAGAAATGAACGTAGCTTTTAGCAATTTTTTAATCTAACCAATAGTAAACAAATTGCAATAGACAATTATTATTATTAATGCTTAAATCGATTTGTGTAAATTATAATGTAAAAAACCAGTGGCGCTACGACTTCCAGGTTTTGGCCTCAGGTTTACAGATTTTCCGGTTTCGCAATATCCTTAGTGCCTAACACGCCGTAAATTTGTTAGGTCTAAGCACATAGAAAAGTCCATAACAGCCGTAATTCGAACCCACGCACGTCGCACGCACATGTTAAGAGGCTCAAGCCTTTACGCCAACATTGCTTAACTTATATTTTAAGCTTACTAATAAAACATATTTAAGTGTTATATTATATATAGTGATGTATGTTTTGTGTATCTGTAGCGCATTTTGCTTAAAAAGAAATTTGGGATAGACAGAATTCCACGTCACAAAGGTCCAGCCTGAAAATTAAACCATAAACACATTAAGTTTTCTTAAATTTAAGTTTACCTGTCTGCCGACATACGACTTATCTATAACGTATATAATAAATTCGTAGCATAACAAATTAACATTCAGATAAATCTCTCTCACCAGCAATGCTCTGTGCCAAAGGGCCAGCTTCATACGCGGCGTCGGATCGAATAAAGGTAACGTGCGGGCTCGTTTATGTAGGGGCGGCGGGACCAGTCGGCCGCGGCGAGATCAAACGCTCGGCAGATCAAAGGGGCCGCCGCGCGATCGGCATCCGTCATTATTATTATGCAAGCATTACGGAGCGCGTGACTCAGGCGAGAGGGCCACGCGAGCAGCGCGGGCGCGGGCGCCGTCGCCTCACCCCCGCCCCTCAGCCACCTGTCAACAGCCTCCAGCACAGTACATAAACATGACAGTATCGCAATTTTATCGATCCTGTGGGAACCAGTGACATTAGTTACGACAACAAGTCTTAGTACATTTAGTAGTACCATATTCAGAAAATATTTCATTTAGGATAAAAAAGTTCTCATCAAATCATACTTAAATAAAACCATGTTTTAGGTCACCTACCACTTATAATTTCTGAGCCTCACCTGTATGTTTCGGCCGTAGATAGAGCTGCTATCGAAGGTTTAAGCATATATCAGAAAATTCCACCTATTGCAATTTATTCATATTTAATTTATACTATATAAAATCTACGACTCTATCCAACATTTCAACAATCCAACATCTTTGTACATAGATTAACTAAATAAAACACCATTTTTTAAATTTTTGAGTTACTACATTAAACTTACTCCAGTATTGTTGTGCTAAACATAGGGTCTGCTAATTTGATCACTATTACATAATCATATTATGACAGAGTTAGGGAATAATTTGGGTGTATATCTGCAAAACAGGCAAACAAATTTGAAGCGTGCCTATTCTAATGAAACTTTTTCGTAATTATACGTATAATAATAAACTTCATGTAAAATAAACTATTTATTGCAAGAACCTGTAAACCTGGTATAACCACTTATTTTAAAGCAGTACTCTCCAAACCATTAATAAAGCAAAATGACCGTAATTTCAATAAATTTTATGCCAGATGTAGAGTTTACTATCGTTGTTTATATTTACATAATTCTAAATGCTTGGGAAAGAATAGTGAGGAGCGTTGGCCTTCAGTGTGCGTCTATCATCCCTGAGGTCGTAGGCTCGAACCCCGACTGTGCACCAATGGACTTTCTATGTGTGCATTTCACACTCGCTCGTATGGTGAAGGAAGTTCTATGGCGTGTGTCAAGCACTGCAGATCACCGAACATATACAGAAATCTGAGGCTTTTTTTGGTCAGAGCTTCCTTCCCAATATTGCTTATTTCATTATCTGAATAATGTTAGACCCAACTTACAGCGATAGTGAACTGAAATAGTCACGTTGTTTTTTCATTAACATCATTATTAGGCTGGCTTAAATAATAATGGTTCTTACTATTATTATTGTATCATAATAAGTATTATTATTATCCACATTCTTTTTATTTTATTTGCGACTGAGGTGCAAAGCTGTCGTGGTCTCTGGCACAATGACCAGCGCTGTGGAACAGTCTGCTCCTCAGCAAAATGCTGAGCCAGGACCAGTTACAACCACAACACACACGCCATTACATACATAAAACGTACCTTGTCTTTAAAAAAAATGGTTATTTTTCAGTCGTTTTTTTTTTGTTATTATTATTTTGTGTGTGTTTCATTAGTAATAAATGTTACGTCTATGTCAATAAGATTTATAAGAGCAATTAACGTGACATACTTTGATGTTACTTTCATCACGATTATTCGATATCAGTGTTTTATTTATGACAAGGACGATATTATGGAGTCGGTTAAGTTGAATATAATTGGCGTGCGGCTCAGCTGCGTTCAAAGCCAGTACCTGCCAGTAAAAATGCCATCATAAAGCCATGCCGGCACAATAAGTCCTTTGACAGTTAGTACCTTTATGATGCCGACTCTGATATACGACCCGCTCTCATTAAACTTATTTTATCGACTCCCGATACAAGATCTAACTCCGGACAATAAATCAGGACTTAAAGAAACGTGCGCTACCTTACAAACAAGACGGAAGAACGAACATTCAAAAACTTTACGGTCAATTCAATACCATTATGTTAGTCGGAACGATGCCATAAAGCGATTTATTAATAAAAGACTATTATACAACTCATTTTCCAAAACAATAACCGATCTGCCTTTTTATGAGTTTTTTTAATCGTTCCATAATAAAATGTTACGGGTTGTAAATAACATAACAAAAAGGCTAAAACGATTACGCTTGATGAGCTTAATTTATTGTAAAGCAGGTACAGTAAATAGTAATTTATATAAATTAGTATTAGAGTATTATTAACCTATTACAACCTATATTATGTTTCAACATAGCCATTAAAGTTGCTTTTACGTCGCTTCACATTGCCATGGATTGAAAAAAAGATAAAAGGAATTTCGTGTGTTAATAAAGCATAAAAATAAGCATTATTCGGACTCCGCACCAGGAAACGCATATGGATAACCGAAAAGTGAAGTTCATTCAAATAGCTAAGGCCGTAAAGATATCAAAGGAACGTGTTGGACATATCCTAGATATTTGGATATGCGAAAGCTCTGTTCAAAGTGGGCGCCGCGCGAACTCACAATCGATCAAAAACAACTACGAGTTGATGATTCTGAGCAATGTTTGAAGCTGTTCAATCGTAATAAATCCGAATTGTTTGGAAAGATTTGGCCCTTACCGACTTTTTCCTGTTCTCAGACCTCAAGAGAATGCTCGCTGGGCAGAAATGATGAAAAGGTAATCGCCGAAACTGAAGCCTATTTTCAGTCTAAACACAAATCGTACCATTAAATATGGTATCGAAACATTTTATGAACGTTATAATCGTTGTATCGCTCTCGAAGGCTATATAAAATAATCAAATCAAATTTTATAAAAAAAAAATATTTTTTCTATATTACTAACGAACTTTTCAGCCCACATTAGAACTGAATGCAAACCCATAGACGTGTCATTGATTTTTTTGGTAAATAAAAATTTAGGCTCTTTAACACTAACTTTTTAAAACACGTTTTATTAGTGGAACTTTTAAATGAGTCATTTGTCATGACCAAGTTCGAAGATATCTCGTACACTGTTTAAAATTACAATTTTCAATTTGTTTCAGACATCTGCACTATGGTTTGTTTAGTGTCCTCACAAATGGCATACAAAAGTAAATACGCAAACAATGGCAACAAGTAATAAATTACTAGTCACCTTCTGTCCGAGCAAGAAATAATGGTGGTCTTTTAAGCCTCCAATCGACTCGCTACCGGGCGCGAGTTCTGCCGCAAAAAATGCTTTGGTCATTCCCGTTGACGCTTTGTGTACATTCATTCACAATTACTTTAATTGAATACTGTACTTGTGGTTTTACATTTTATTTATTTCTATATATCTTTACATGAATTCATAGATAAATAGAAGTATCTAAGAATATATGGTGGTACATATTTGCTTATATTTCTACTTTGCGCTCATAACAGTTTAATGCGTTTGGTGAAAATACCAAACTTGGAAAACAACAAGTAGGTACATCTTTAAGTTGGAGAGATAGAAGATACATTATGCAGAACACTAAGTGTATTTTAGATTATCTACTAGTTACTAGGACTGTACTAAAGCCACATTTAAATACAACAATATAAAATAATTCAAAATGTCCAACTAAACAACACTTATATTTAATACAGAACGTTGTGACTGTTTATCATTTGAAATGTTTTATAGACATTCCTTTAAAAGAAAAAGTCTATTACTAATGCTTGCAAATAAATAACAAAAGAATATCACGTTGAAGCTTTTAAAAAGCTATTTATTACCATCATAACTCTTTGAATAGAACAACAAAAGCGATTATAGTAAAAGCAAATCGCTATATTATATTCATAAAAACAAGATCAAACGGCCCGGCCAATTAACGTCCGACGAACACTTTTGTCAGTGACAGTGCGCATGTTTAGCAACTAGCTGATCGTTCTTGCTTCGCTTGCTACATACCAATTTGTACCAGTACCTTATTAAGCCACAAAGCAATAATTTTTATATTAACTATATTATCAAAATTTATTAATTTAAAGAAAAAACACCATTGCGTAAATTTTATCTTCAGTTACTATGACTTTAAATTTCACTTATTTGCTTATTCTAGTGTTTGTTTCTTATTTGGTACCTTTTCATTTTAGGCATAATTATAATCTTATTAAACTGATTTCGAATTTAAATCGTATATAGTTATTTTAATTGGTCACAATAGGTCTTCGTAAGAACCATAGTGTATATTATTACAGATATAATTTATAGTACACTAAACAGTAAGTTTATATTCTTAACAACCCAATGTTATTGTCTTACAAATCGTATGATCCAAAAATATTCCTCTACAATATGTACGTTGCGTACGTTGATCCTTAAAATATACGTAGTATCGAATGGAGTAGTGCAATTCCAGCCTCCGTTCACAATAAATCTGAACCGATAAGTATGGAGGCGGATTGTCGGCACGATCAAAGCGAGGGGGCACATGAAAGCCGCCGCTGATGTTCCGATAGCGCGTTTCCATCCACGCCCGGCACGTAATTGGCCCTTTGTCTGATGACATTTTAATTAATTTGATTTTAATTCTGAATGACAGCAGAGAAATGACGAAGGTTTTTCTGCGATATGGCAATTTGTGGGCTTTTGAACGTTGTATTGGTGAGCTTTAGTAAGCTGTGAAAAGTTTATAGAGATTAATAGATATCATGGGATACATTTATAACTCATGGTGATTACATTTCGTACGTGAGCTTAGTTTTACTTACCGAGAGAATCTCATATGAAATCATTATCCAAAGACTTACATTTTAAAAGTGAATATACTCACCGGATGACATTTGTCATTTATGTTAAATTAAAAGTTTAAAAAAATTATTTTCTTAAGTTGCATTAGCCATGCACTTCCTCCTCGGATAACTTTATCCGATATACTTATGTATGTTGGTTTTTTACCTAATCAATACAGCTGTACCACGGCCATGAGCGCGTTTCCTTTTTTTAAATAATGTAGTCAAATAATAGCTTAGCTAAATTAGACTTGCGTTTAAATACATTTTAAATCAGATTTGTCTTTTATTATTGCATTAATAACATTACGAAATACCGTATCGTACAACAATGAATACATACCAACGGTAGGCAGTGCGTAACAGTTATCAACTCTTTATATGCACGAAGAAATAACACCTTTGTAGATTCCGTCAGCTACTGGCGTCTCGTGTAATTAATTTGCTTTAAACGACTACCAGCGTGGTTGTGATGGCTGTAATACAACTATGCATCTATCTACCACAGTCGGCAATAAAATTCTTATTAACAAAAGGCACTAAGCAGTGTTCACTTGCGACTCTCAACCCACCAATCGATTTGATCTATTTGGTTTCAAGAATTTATGGATCAAAAATTATTACATTTAATATGTATTTGTTAGAAAATTGTCGACTAGGGAACACTGATACTTAATATTGTACAGGAATTTCCTACTTAAGAACAGGTACTTAACAGAATTTGTTTTCTTAAAAGACTCGCACTTTATAACGAGTTCCTTCGGATATTTAACATATACTTTGATTATTTTAAACGAATAGGTCACTTGTCAAGGCGGCGCCCAACCCCTTGTTTCCCCCAAAAAAAACCCCCCCCTTTTTTTTCCTTTTTTTTTGGGGGCCCCCCCCCCCCCCCTTTTTCCCCCCCCCCCCCCCCCCCCCCCCCCCCCCCCCCCCCCCCCCCCCCCCCCCCCCCCCCCCCCCCCCCCCCCCCCTGGAACGTTCATACATTCCGAATCATGGCGGACGACGAGTTGCAGCTATTTTCGGAATTATAAATAAAGCAAGAGAAAGAAAAAAGGGAAAAGGGGGGGGCGAGGGCGGTGGTTGTTATTAAAATTCGTACAAGGCTTTAACCATATTAGGCTTTACTTTGCCGTGTTTTTTTTTTACTTAAAAGTTACTTAAAAATGTCAAACTAGGGCTCATCAGACATTTACGTTTCGTCAAGGTTGCGCGTCAACGAAAGTGTAGCAAGTAAATACGTCCGCCTCCCGCAAGCCCGCCCCCGCTTCTCACCCCCCCAACGCGTGTGCATACGTAGATGTAAAATTTTGATGCAAATAAACCGACACCGATGCCGAACACTCCCCAACACCAACCCCCAATACACAAACACCCCAAACACCCACCACCTCTCCCTTTTTCTGTTTGCTGTTATTCGATATTTAAAATATTCGAAAATATCGTCGCTGTCTATTGTATAATGAACAAAGAAACAAATTTGCATTTAAAACAGCTTTATTGCGACGAATAAATAATGCGGAAAATATATTATGCATAAGATTCGAAATAGTATAATACAATTTTAAAACTCTAAACAAAAATTAAAAATCGAACGTTCTCATTACTTTTTTAATTACAAATAAATATAAGGCACGCGCATTTATCACAGAACATCAACTATAGATATATTACATTTCCTCACACAATAAGGCTTTGGGGATATGCAAGAAATTTCTGTACAACGATACTTTGCTGAACCAGTAGAAGGTTTTAGTGCAAATAAAACAGTTTAATAAGCAATTATCATTAATAATCTCACTTTAAGCTGTCTAGCGGTATTACAGTGTTTTCAGATGGAGTTTGTGTATTGAATCTTAAACAATGTTTTTAATATAGACTACTTCATATTGATATTAAATATTTTATGTTGTTACCCAAAGCCTTAATGTAACGTATTATTATTTTTTCAAATATATACTAACAATTATTGCAATAAGACGTAGAAAATGCATATAAAAGGAAAATTTACAATTTCAAAATCCGATCTGATTCGGTATTTAATGGAACACACCATATGAGATTCATAAGATTTGTCCTTATTACATAATCAATGTATTATAACGTATTATATAAAAAGTATATTGAAAAAATGTACTTAAAAATATTCGAATAATCTAGGATTCAACAACCATATTATTTTTGAAAAAAAAAAACTTCCGAGTCAAAGGACATAATATTTCTCATATGATTTTATTTGTATAGGTTTCATGACTCAAACTATTTTCTGGGCCAAAATTACGAAATCAACTTTATAAACGAGTTATCTCAATAATAAAATATGATCTGTCAGTCTACGTGTTTCTACACGATATTAATGATCCTATAAATTAATGATTATGATTTTATTGCGAGAAAATTAAAACTAAATTACGCCTAGTTAATCTCTTACAAGCACCTTCGTTATGCAAGGAATTCATCGTTTTATCTTCAATTATATTTGTATAAAAGTTCTAAATTACATTTTACAAGCAATTAATTAAGTTTTTACAAATGTATTAAGGAAGCTTCATTAGTTGTAATATACAAAACTGTTCGAAATCTTGTTTTCAACATATAAAATCATTTCATTAGACAAATTAAACGTAGGCAAGTATTTTACTGTCGGGGCATAGCTAAACTTCAGATCAATCGTACACCGTACTACGTCGGTACGTATAAGTATCGGTATGGTATGTACTTAGCCAAAACGTATACGTACGCCTATATACGTACTTGTATGTACACAGCTACATATGATATGTACAAAAATTTCTAACAAATTGTGCGTTGTGAACTCAACCTAATGAGAAAAACTGTTTACTTGGCATTTTCTGTCTTTGTTTCTTTATGAACTCGCGTGCTTGTTTGTCTCCTTGTCTGGACTCCAGGGCCTTGATGGCGTCACCGTCTGAAAATTCTGGAGTATAAAACGAAAATCCTAGTATATTAGAAACAATATTTTTCAGTTATTTTTTCTTTTACTTTGAACGAAAAGGACATTATGTAAAAATTTACCCGTATGTATATATATACTTAATATATCTATTATATTATATATATATTTTGTTAAAAGCGCTTATCTCAGAACAGACTTGATTCCTTTTGTGGTGGTCAGTCCATTTATCAAGTAAGTTTTTATAATGAAACCTCGGGCAAAGCAAATTAAATATAAAATCCTCATGAACTTACCAATATTACTGGGTCTCGAAAGCGGCAAATGTTGTTGCGGGAGGCTGGATATGGGGGCAGGCGTATCGGGCACTTCACTGAAGTGTGCGTACGCCTCGCCAACGAACGTATTGCTAACACTGAACATGTCTTTATCCTTTATTACGAAGTGTAACAGACCGTCCTGTGTGTTACGCTGCTCTGGCGAAAGGGAGCTGCGAATTGTTTCATAATATAAATAGAGAGAGAGATGTGCCCTACTGTATGATTGTTAGTAAAACTTTTATTGTTCATCAAAATTTGAATGAATAAAACTAGATACGACTAAACACTTACATAACGAACATTTCGTCATACAACGGGAAGAGATTCTTATTATGTGTTTGTGTCTTTGGTTTTTCAACATTTACAAATGTGTCCTCTGGTAATAACGCGACTCGAACATACGAATCACATAAACCTAAAAGAAAATAAGTATTAGTTTTATAAATCCTCAAACCAAATTGTTGTCTGGACGCAAAGAACTATATAAAATGAGTTAATTGTTCTCTTAAATCATTATTATTGGGTTTGTGTAATGAATTAGTTAATTTTCATGCCTGTCAATGGATGGAGGTTGTTATATTTAAAACGCGGTATTATTACCGTTAGGAGACTATGTACGAGTATATTAGGTGGTGATTGTTTATGTGGTTAAATGGTACTCCCGCGCCATGAAAATCTCAAACATTATTCTTCTCGCAGACTCCCAAGGGAGCTTGGAAAGTAATTTTCACTTTAAATATGAAACAATAAAGATTATATCGCTATCGTAACGGAAAATTAAGACTTCAAGGGATTCTATTCTTAGTGAAGGAAAATGTTTTAGGATTCATCACGTGTATGTAATATTTCGAAATTCTATACCATAAGATTACTTAATAATCTCACTTGAATTTAAAAAAAGCAGATAAGAGTTTCTAAAATACGTGCCGCAAACTCACCGTTAGAATCCGTGGGCATCAAATTCCTAGCATTCATGATCTCGATCTTGAGATTGTTATCAATGAATTGCGCTCGCACGGTCAACATTCCCATCTTTGGCTCACTAACGGTCTGTTGCTCCTGCCATCTTTCTAAATGGTACTGGTGGATCAGTTCCCTGGTCTCCATACCGTGTAACTTGAGTAAATACTCCACTCGCTTCAAGGTATCAGAGGTATAGATCTCCTTGTTATCTTGCCGGAACGATCGGACCATTATTTTGAGACATTCGTGGAGATTTGAAAAGAACGCGGGTGGTCGACGTTTCTGGAAATGGATGGGGTTTAAAATTCCATGCGTAAACGTTATTGCCAGAGGGAGTGGGGGTTTACATTTATTATATTTATAACAAAAGCGGAACCTTTTTAGCAAATTTCAGAATGTATTATTGTTTATTAAAAACATATATTTTTGTGAACACTTTTGAATATACAGCTGTAATGTTTTTACCACCTGTACTTAGCTGATTTACAAGTTTATAATGCATTTCTGAAAAATTTATACACTGGTTGTTTAAATGTGATTGATCTACGCCCATTTTTATGATAAGCGATCATTCATATTACATTATAGTTTTTCTTGTTCATTTTGTTGTTTCACGAATAGCTTGTTTCGCTTAACATCCCCCAATTTAATCCCATTAATTTTTTTTATCAAATTATTGCTAAATTAAATTGTAAACCATACAATAATCAATATTGTATAATTTTTCTACTGATATTAACAATTACATGCCTATATCATGCATTATTTTTGCATTCAGGGTACTCATTCAAATTTTGTGAGGTGCCGTAATGCTGAAGTGCCGATTCAGACCCTTCAGCCGAAACAACATTGCTTCGCCAAAGACCGATCCCCAGCTCTTCCGAATAAAACGTATTAAACAAATCGGTCCACAGAATGATTCACCGACAAAAAAAATTAAAAAATACATTTTGAATATAGATTTAACCCAACATAACATTTGTGTGAATATTTTTATATTATGTCACAAAAATATAACAAACAATGATAGTGTAATATATATACTCAAGCAAAATAATGAGATAATCAATATATGCTACCAACATCGTACCAATTTAATTTACATTACTCTGCGTTTTATTTACATGTGTTCAATAATTTATGACATAAAAAAAAAATAGGATTTAGAAATCCACATACCATACATTAGATTTTACCTTTCGCATATATAGAAAAGTAAAATTAATATAAAATATACAAGCAAATTCTGCCACCAATTTCCCAACATACAAATATACTTTTCCATTCCTTTTTAAAACACACGACTACGACAGACTATTCTAGGATCAGACATAGACAAGGATATATACAGCACATATACATAAACAAGGTGCTCTGTAATATATTTTTACCGAGTCTAAGTTGGCAGCTGCCGATTTAGTCAGCCGTCTCGGGTTGATATACCGTGTTATCTTTGCCCCGCGGTGCTATCAAACAACAGTAAAATAAATAAAATGTTAATAATTGTCATTTTCAAAACTGCTCCATGATATTCTGTAACGTACTAAGAGATGACGCTTGTAAATATTTAAGAATGCATTCAAGGAACATATTTTGAAAACGACTGCAATATTAAATAAAAATATTAATGGTGCATTATTAACGCGTGCGATATATAGCAACTATTTACCCGTAATATTAGGATCGTTGGCGCAACTTTGTTTTTGTGATAACGGAATCTAAAGCGAATACGGGTAGCGACTGTTGGCTTCTATAAATTAAAGTTAGGTTGTTAGTGAAAATGGAAAATATTAATTCTAATGTGATCTAGATAATACACTAATTAAAGATTTAATGCACTATAATTTATAAAAAAATTTAAATTTTCAAATATACTTGTCGAAAATGTGCTAAAATATCACAGCGCCATCTAGATATAGAATACAAAAATATTAAACACATCACGTATTACACTAGATCACATAAAATGGCACACAATTATTATTATTTTAATTAAAATATACACGCTTTGATAGGATTTAACAAACAGAGTCTGAATATTGTGTAGCTACTTCATGAACTAATTAAAAGCAGGTCAACTTTATAATCACGTGACTAAAGTCAGCTGTGACTTGACTACGATAATATCATTGTTGTTTTTTAAAAATCAAAATAGATACTAATTTCAGACCGATGAAAAAGTAGGACGTGCTATTTATAGACCATAGACAACGTAAACGATGATGGTGGTCAGTTGCAGTACGGAATGACGTCATGTTCAATTAAAACAAAGAAACTTCGAGTAATTAAAACTATTGCCATAAAAAATTTAAAAAAAACACGCCAGACCCGCGTTAAACTTAAACTATAATCTAGACTCTATTTGTTAAGAATCATTTCAATATTAGTTACAATGTTAAAATAACGAAAAAATAGACTAAATTAATTAAAGGCGGAATATTGTGTTAAAATAAAACTTACCTCCAAATTAGCCTGTATCAATTCATATAAGACCTCTCCTAGTTGTTCCCATACAATATCGAGGGTTCGTGAGAAGTTCTCATTATTTAAGTGCTGGTATAATGTATCGAGGTTGGCTTCGAGGTATCGCATGACACGGTCCATGCTAGAGCAGTCTTGATGAAGGAGTTCAGCACCTTCCATTAGGAAACGAGTAATTGAGGGCATCATCTGAAAAACAATATATTATTAAAGCAAATTCTACGGGTATAATTATTTCGCTTGCCCCGGGGAACAAAGTCGTAAAAGCAAAATCTATTTTTTTTTTCAGGACAAAAACGAGATAGTTAAAACATTTTGCAACCCTAGGAAGTCAAAAATGAGACAACCCCGGCTCAAGCGACATGGTTCCTTCTTTTTTGTGGAGTAGTGAGACTTGTAAATAAGTAGTTTGTTTAATGTTCTGTACTTCTGAATGGTAGTAGTATAGTCTGGCGAATGAAAGAAGATAAATGAATTATTTGAAAACTTTCGGATGGCAACACAGAATCTCATTTAATTTCTTAGGTTAGTATGATTTATTGTCCTGCTACTTCATGCAATTACTCATTTTTATTTCTATTATATATTTTTTCCGAATAATTAACAGGTATAATAGCCTAAGCTATGTTCTATTGATTTTTTGGATTCTGATTTTCATGATTCCGAATAATCCGAGTTGTGCTATATAATTAATATAGTTGTAGTTTTTCATGCAATACTTGTCATTTAAAGTATCAATAGTAAAAGGCTAAATACGTATAGTATTTAATTTCATAGAAATAAAGTTACTATCAATGTAAAAAATAATAAAATAGAATCAAGTTAGTTTAATCCACACAATATATAAAACTTTTAAGGATACCATACAATTTTTTTTTATTTGCCGCGTTTATTCGTTATCATCTTTCATTAGCCAGACTCTAATACATAGCATATTCTATTGTTAAAACGATATATTAATAACTTTTAATTAATTTGTATGAACATAAAATCTTCAAATGATAATCGTTGTTAATCAATAGAGTTATACATAAATCTATTTAATGCCAGTGTAAAAACGAAGGCTATTTTATTCATTTTCATTAACTTCATTAACTAGGGCCAAAGAACCCCCTTATTTAAAAATATATATATCATCTAATTGCACCGTTTTAACTAAAGTTATCGGTCTCTTTTGATCGAAGCGTAATCACCATTTGACAGAAACAGCCGAAAGGGTACTGTAATTAAAAGAGTGCAATCAAAATGATTTAGTTTTATGAATAATCTGTATCTGTGAATCTCCTAATATCTATGTTGAGGTAATTGGGTAAACTCAAGCTCACCTTCTTTATCATGACTTCAAGGAGTTCGACAATTTTATTTTTGACAGTATCTATTGCATTCGCTATAACATTATGCAGGGTGTCTCTACACCTGTAACATAAAAAAACGTAATATTTATAATAAATTGAAGTAAAAAAATAGAATAACGGATATGATATCAGACGTATATGTTAAGAGTTGGTTTGCAGAAAATTTATGATTAAATATACGTAGATGTTGCAAAATATGTGGCAAAGCTGACGCCACAGATTAATAAACAATGCAATGTAATATAGAGTAGAATTAATGAAAACGTTAAAAACTAACGTTAAAACGAAAAATTATATAAAGTCTTTGGTAAAACTGTCTGTCTATAACTATATCTGTTCATAATTCTTCACCATACGAGCAAATGTTAATTGCGTACATAGAAAAAAAAGGCCACTGCGGTATAGCCGCGATTCGAACTCACTACATCGGGTTTGGAAGATGAACTATAAACTATGTAACACTATTTTATTTATAAATGTTCAGAGATAAGAAAATAACTAGTAAAGTAAATACCTCTGCGCTTCCAACGGCGATCGAGATTCACACATTTTCTGTATGATCTCATCCATTCCCAATTCCTCAACAAATGGCGTAAGACTTTGTCTCACATAGTCTATATTATTTATGGCAACACACCACTCTGTGGTAACTTCAAATCGCTCTTCATATACTGTGCTAATCGTTCCAACGCTTTCAACGCGGGTTGCCATTTTGTCAGAATAAAATACGCAACATCGACAGATGTCCTGGAATTTAATTTGACCACATTAAACAATAGTAATGAAATACTTAGGTTAATTGGTAAAAACCAACACTTGTGTGGTTTCTCAGTGTTTAACTAGAAGGAAGAAAAATAATTTCTTGACAGCCTGTTCTACGGTAGCAATCATTTTAAAAAAAATGTTTCGAGTAATAACGCTTAGACTTAATTTGGTCAGGTTAAAGCTAAATCAAGAAACTTTGGTAGATTACATTATGGGATCTTTATGACCCTTAGTCGCCATGCCAGAGACAATTAAGCACATTTAAGAAGGCATCTGGCATCCCTACATCTGGTTTATTTAAGTAATGGTCTACCCGTTATACAAAGATTCACATTTTAGTAAAGTAAACTGTACTGTGTGTGATAAAGTACCGTGTTTGTAGCGTTTAAACACAGGGCGAATGACCTGGATTCAATTCCTTTCTAACGAACGAACCCTGTTCTAACAAACAATAATTGATTCGCTTTTTATGGACAGAAGACTAATCACCTTGCTTTAAATGTGTGGGCTTCATTGAGGGTTACAAGGTTTCATAATCCGTAAATAACCATGTCAGTACTTACATCAACAATTTTGGCCACAAACGTATAACATCCTTCCACATCAGGCCAGGCCAGCTGTTGCCAGAATATTTTGATCTGATAGAAAATAGCCAACGTATCTACTCCAGAACTACTATATTTCACATTTCCATCTACAGGTACCAAATTGTCTAATTCTACAGCTTTTTCGATGCGCGTGAGTGCTTTAAAAGCAGCGATATCTAACCACTGAGCCACGCCGCCGAAGAACCACGAGTGGAATTTAGATATTGAATAGGATTGCCATTCTGTTTCGTTCAGGCCTTGGCCAAGTCTGAAATATTAAGAGAGACATGTTATTAGATTTCTTCTTATGACTCTTAAATATGCTTGTTTTATTCGAAAACGCTGGAACTATTTAAGTTTTTTGTTTCATATAAAATATTAATTTATTTTTCTTTCCAATTTATTGTCTATTGATTCAGAAATTTTACTAAAGTCTTTAAAAGCTATATTATAACATATTAACTAATTTTTAAGGACAATTAAAATAAACGTGTTGTTCCCACGAGAATGTAAGTGCGTGCTCCTATTTCACCATGCCTCCAGTTGATAGAGGACAAATATTTGTTTTTAATTTATGTTATTATTATTTATTACTTAAGATGTCATGTGGAATATGGTGTTGCAGCTCCTTACAAACATTATGTAAAACAAAAAACTTGTCGATTAAAAAGAGTGGCGGAGAGTTCAGTAAATCTAAAATTAGAAGAATTTAATATGTATTTCTTTTTTGATGTTCAAGTGTACATCGTGTTACCTATATGAATAAATGATTTTGATTTGATTGGAATACATTTTACCTTAGCAACATTATCATAATATTAAATTAAAAATTATGATTATTCTAAAAATATCATATACTAAAAACTTACGTCAAAAACCTCTGTAAAGCCAAATATAATTCGAATAAGGTAGTTCCCATGGCCAAAGGTTCTGATCCAACGTCAGGATTGCCCAGCCCAGTATCTCCATTTAAGCCTCCAGCCAAATACACGCTGTTATTCGACCCCTCGCTATACCTCAACCGCTTTAAACTCTTACACACTTGCAACACCTCGGGCTCTACCAGAGACGCGATTTTATCTTCGTATACGCCGTAAAGTGCTTTGGAATACGGAAAGCTCATTACTCTGAAAGAATTTGTAATAATAATGTAGTTTTATTACGTTAGGAAAATACAATTTGCGAAGATGCTCTATTTAAATAAAATGTCTTTAACGCGATATTCTGTACATTATTTGTACTGGATGTTTCAAATGCAGGCAGGCGTAAACGAGAGTCTATCTCTACATAGGATTAATTAAATTATTTATAAAAAATTCAATTTGTACAATAATCAATCTGTTAACTGAAAATTTTGTGATTGACTGATACTGGTGCGTTTCAAAATCTTATAGTGACAGAAAGCATATAATCAGACGGGAAGTCCACCTCTACTCCTGTACCAAAGTTAATTGAATTATGCCCACCGCTAATATACTAAACTTTAACTAACATAACTGAGCTATATTAGCAAAAGTAAGCATTAATATTATATAGCAAGTTACTTACTCAACAAAAACTCTGTCGAAGTACTCAATTGCACGTTGCAAGTCGGACCGGACTAACTGAATAACTCGAATCAAATGCTGCAACCTTGAATCTTCCGTTTTATCCTTGCATTCGTTATTATCAAGAATATGGACGAACCAATCGGATGCCCCTTGAATCACCGCTTGATGCAAAACGTCATACATTGACAATTTACTCCCATCTGCATTCTCCTTTAACCAGCCGTAAAGGTTTGTGGGGAACAACTCTATTGTCTCTGGGATGTCCAAAGATGACAATTTGTAGAGTATTCGTAGGACTTCACGAAGCGTTTTCATGACAGTTTTGTCGCCTGCTGTCTTCTTTCTTAGTTTTCTGACATGGCCGTAACAGGTTGGTAGAAGTTTCTTCGTACCGTCCCAGAATAGTTTGACGTCTTCTTCATTTACCAGACCTGGAAAAGTTCATATAAATATAATACATATCTGGTCAAATAAGTTGACCATTACATTAGTAGAAATCGTTTTTAGGTATTTTTATCCGAAAAATTTTCTTCAAAACGCAAATCTAAGTTACTTGCCGAGACTAATGCATAGCAAATTTAAATATTAATGAAACATTAAATTAAATTAAATTCCATAAAAACCGTGATTCAATTAGCAGATCACGCGATAAGGATAATCTTCGTATAATATAAGTGTAAGACCATCTCGTGTTGATAATAGTTAATAATTTCTTAGGAGTTTTACCTCTTAAAGTATTTAAGACACTTTTCTATTAATTAAATACTACGATTGCCGTTCTGTTGAAAGCTGATAGAAAAATTATAAAACATATTCAATGATATTTTTCTAGAATTGTCTATTCAATCAGTATTAAGAAGTTAATTTGTTTTATTTTTAACTTAGTTTCAAACTTTTCGTACTTATATTTTAAGAGTCATTTTTTCAGTACAATTATCTACTAATAATTAACTAGAACCGGCAGTGCGGGTCTGCTAAAAATATTCGTGGTGAGTATTACGGGAAATCAATATGCCTTTATGGTACAAATTCTTTTTTTTTTTCTTTTTTTTAATGGCTCTGGCACGGTTTGTGCATTAGCCAGCGTCAAGTATAAGATTTTTATAATTCGTGCTTTTTGCCTAAGAAATTCGACCATGTCCTCCATGTACGGTTTAGGCACTCGCCCGGTACCGCACAACCCTCCCAAAGGCCGAGAACAAATTTAAATTAAATTAAAACTTGCCCTCGAACCGGGAATCGAACCCGGTACCTCTCACGTAGCTGCCACTTAATAAGACCGCTAGGCTATGAGGCCCCCATGGTACAAATTCTTATACCTAGGTTACACCGCCGCCAATTCACAAAAACAAATGACAAATGAATGCAATATATGTACTACATTAGGCTAACAAAGAGTTCTAAAATTGAAATTAAAAAAAAATTCATTAGCATTAAATGTTTCTAACTGGCCAATTCTAAACATTGTCAGTGTTACCCACGTATATGAATATGACTAATCCGCACCAAAAGCTGTGTGGAAACTAATAACCTTGAATGCATCTACCATTCTCATGACACGTTGATAAGATCACGATAAAGAAATAATTCTGTTTATTTAACAAATGCGACGGAAACAAGACATGATGTCATTTTTAAGCCTATGTGTAGCTATTGTGTTAGTAGATTGCTAATTTTCTCGAGATTGTTAATATTTACTTATTAAATTGCATTTCCATTAAATTTGTTTCTAAATAAATGTAAATAATAAAAATAGAAAAACATTTTAACCGAATTAAAGAAACGAATTTTATCGATACCAGAATTGACACAATTCAAAGTCAAAAGATTTTTGTTACAATTTTTTTAATTCTTACCCGACTGTAGAGGTTTGGTTATTTTTTCCAATAAAATATTGAAGAGCGCAAAACTGAGTGGGTGATCCACGGTGACCGCACAGAACACTAACCACTGTGCTAGCAGGTTATCATTTTGTGTTAATCCACTTTGTGCCGCATGCTGAGTTAAAATGCCTTCAGCTGGAGCACTAAAGTTGCCGCACCACCAAAATGGCGCCACCTGAAATTAAATTAAAGAAATTTATTAAATTATGTACCATGTAAGTGGCAGTGAGTAAGCAGTGTTGGCCTAGTGACTTCAGCGTGTATGCACAACAGCGAGTCCCACATAACCCTTCCCCACCAGGTCAACCGTGCCGCGGAAGGGTATGCGTAACGCATTTTCCCACGAAAAAAAAAAGTGACTTCAGCGTACGACCCTCACCCGTGAGGTCGTAGGTTCGATCCCCGGCTGTGCACCAATGGACTTTCTGCCTATGTGCGCATTTAACATTCGCTCGAGCGGTGAAGGAAAACATCGTGAGGAAACCTGCTTGCCTTAGACCCAAAAAGTCAACGGCTTGTCTCAGGCACAATAGGTTTATCACTAACTTGCCTTTTAACCTAAGTCACGAACAAACTTTTGAGCAAACTTAGTACATGGGCATATTAAGGCCGGGTAAATTAAAATAATAAATCGTAAATAAAAAATTAAATCTTAGAAAGTTGGCAGTGTTAAACACCTCCGTACCTATCCTATTCTTCTTATGATATTAATTCTAATACTATGATAGAATATATAGTAAAAGAATTATGGATTAAAGAGTGAACTTTTGTCTTTGCGCACACCTAAAAATAGTAGCTCCGAGTCAGATAAACACTCTTATTTCAAATTGATAAATACAATTGGTATTGTTCGTGTAACAAAGCTCAGCCGTTTAGTTCCATCCTATAAAATAACTACAGCAAGAACATATTTATACCTTCGAACTTTCCAATTCGTGTAGCAATAAAATCCTTAACAGATGTCGATGCTCTTGCGCAGCAACTTGAGAATTCTTTTCCGACGAGAAATTGAACCGTACTTTCACAACTCCCTGTCTTCGTACTTTATTCTTCTTGCTAAGGTTCAACCACATTATCATACCTCCAGCTGGTATTGACTGAAAATGTAATAATATATTATGTTAATGACGATTTGATAGAACATAGTTATAAAAATAGAACCAAAATTTTAATGGGCAGGTTTAACTGGAACAGAACATTTTTATAAAACTTGATTTATTGTGTGTTTAAATTAAAAAAAAAGGTTAACACAGATTAACTAAAGTACGTATTTGTACGTACGAAATCAGTAATAGTAATAGTAATAGTAGCCTTTATTTCCAAAACTTAACTATAATAGATTAGAACTTTCATTGATTTTGAATTGAAAAATTAACTTTTAACATTACGTAAAATACACTTTAACATTTAGGAATAATCATTTGCTTGTCAGGTTTTGGTTTGTCAACCGTTGGACATAGGCCTCCTTCATCCGTTTCCACTCGTGTCTGTCGTGGGCCAGGCGCGGCCAGGTGACCCCGGCGACGGCGGTGATGTCATCCGCCCAGCGCCGGCGCGGGCGCCCCTGTGGCCGGCGCGCGTCGCGCGGGTACCAGTGCAGCATTCTCTCGCTCCATCGGTTGTAGAACTTTCTTGCTGTGTGCCCCGCCCAACGCCATTTCAGGCGGCACACCATTTTAGCTGCATGTATTATTTTTGTTTTCTTTCGTACTGTTGTATATTGAATTCTGTTTCTAAGATTCAAGCCTAACATGCTCCTTTCGGCTGATCGTTGAAATGTTTCTATTTTCTTTATTATTTCAGCTGTGATAGGCCACGATTGGCAGCCGTACAGTAGTGTAGGTGTCACAACAGAGTTCATCACTTTTTTCTTCAGTGGTAAACTCATTTGAGACTTGAAAATGTGCTTGTGTGACCAATATGAACTCCAGGCTTTTTTAATTCTTCTCTCTACCTCCTCTATATAATGGCTTTTAAATGATATATTTTGACCAAGGTAGACTGGTCAACATATTCTATATTTCTACTGTTGACGGTTATACTGAATTTTATGCCATTTGTCATTATGCATGTTTTTTCAGGGTTCATTTCCAGTCCACACTCTCTACTTGTGTCTTCTAGGGATTGAAGCATGTATTGTAAGTCTTCATGCTTTTCAGTTATTAAAACAATATCATCTGCGAACCGAAGATGGCTTAAATTTTCGCCGAAATCAGTACTGCGTAAAAATAATCTAGAAATTATTCTAGTTCGCAGTCGATGTTATCTGATATATTTATTAATCTTTCTTGTAATTATAATTATTTAGAATATTTTAAGTTTTCCTTTAGCTATCTATCTGTACTAAACTAATTTTACGCGGTATTTAGACATACATACATTATGGACAAAAATACTTATGTAATCGCTATATTAATAAAATATAATCGTGATTTCACTAAAACGATTCATAAAATTTTATTCGTTAATAGCTGTTTTGCGACAAAGAAAATTCTGTTCTAATTAAGAAAATCCATACCTTAATAACCATACTAGCACAATACGATGTAAGTGTAACATAAAAATCAATATATTCATCAATTAGTCTATGAACGGTGGGTAATAAAACTAAAATTTACGTTGATGAAGTCGCAACACAAGCTCGTTAAAAATAAATAAACTCTTACCGTGTGGTAACAAAATCTCTAAACAACTTACATAATATTTTAATCTGACCTTGGTCATGCTAAAGTTTTACGAATACATTTGCAACAATGGTTATTTATATATAGTCTTATGCCCAATGGCCTTTGCACCTGCGTGGAGAAAGGACACAAGTCTATTAATCTATCTTTTAGTTAGATAATACACCTAAGTTTTATTTTAAATTCATGCAAAACCCTCCGTGATAGTTAACTTCTAGTGAAACGCACGTTTTATTCGCTTTTTATAGTCACGTAAAAATATCTGCAAATCTTTTAAATTTTTTTTGGAACCGTAGTTATAAAAAATAAAAGATTTTTATATTTTTGTATCACAAGTCACAATATACATATAATACAGTAACACAATAAAAGTTATTTTCTAGACTGATGTTATAAATATGAAGCCAAAAAATTGTTTATTGTACTTTTACTTACTTTAAGTGGTATATTGGATGTGCCAATTAGCTCATTATCATGTTTGCCGGTAGACGCAGTAATGGCTATTTCCTTCATTAGTTTTCTGAGACCCTTTACACCCTTCACCTCAAATATTTTCGTCATTTTCTCTTTCACAGTCTCCGCAGGATCGAAGTCCCTAGAATTGTCAAGTTAAATTGTGAGGAACTTTTTAGGTTGTCATAAGCACGAAGACTGCACTTAAAACATACAAGCAACGCACAGTTTAATTGTTATACACGACATTTTTTTTCATTTGTTTAATTGTTTTGTCGTATACACGACAAAACAATTAAACTCAATGTGGGAAAGTGGAATATATGTTTAATTTTCTTTTTATTAATTTTCATTATTATTGTGTAGGTTAAGAGAATTGTAAATACTGTGTATTACTAGATTAGATATACAAAAATATTCACAGATTAAGAAAAGGAAAAAGTTATTTTTCATATAAATATGCGCTTTTGTGCACTTAAATGAATGCTGTTGAATATCAATTCAGATTTTTTGTTAATCTGTAATATTTTTGTAGGTATAGCTAATTCGATGCAAATGAACGTCATCATACTCCAAGCCAGCGGAAATTGCAATTGGCTGACTGTATTATTCGTCTCCTGCGTACTACCGTTCAAAGTCAACATAAAAAAAAAAAAAAAAATTTTTTTTTTTTGGAAAAAAAAAAAATTTTCCCCCTTTCCCCCCCCTTAAAATTTAAGGCCCCCCCCCCCCCCCCCAAAAAAAAAAAGGGGGGGGGCCCCAAAAAAAAACCCCCCAAAAAAACCCCCCCCCCCCCCAAAAAAAAAAAAAACAACAAACACCCCTTTTAAAAAAAAAAAAAACAAAAAAAAAAAAGGCGGTCCCCCCCCCCCCCCCCCCCCCCCCCCCCCAAACAAAAAAAAATTCTTTTTATTTATACTTTTCCCCCCCCCCCCCCTTTTCTTTTTTTCTTTTTTTTATTTAAATAAAAAAAAAGAAAAAAAAAAAACAATTAAAAAAAAAACCAAACCCCAAAACCACCCCCCCCAAAAAAAAAATTTTTTTCTGGGGAGGGGGGGCCGCCGAGTGTTTCCTTCCTTTTTTTTCTTTTTTTTTTTTTTTCCTTTCCTCTCCTCCCCTCCTCCCCTCTTCTTTCCTCCCTTTTTTTTTTTTTTTTTTTTATATATGGAGGGAAAAAAATATAATTCTTTTTTTTTTTCTTTTCCCTTCCTATTTCCCCCCCCCTTTAACCCCCTTCTTCCCCCCCAAACCCCCCCCCCTTTAAAAAAAAAACCCCCCCCCCACAACCCCCCCCCCCCCCCAACCCAATCCCAATTTCTTAAACCAAAAAAACCAATTAAAAAAACACCACCGGGTGTGCCCCCATCTTTTTTTGGGGGTTTTTTCCCCCCCCCCCGGCCCCCCCCCCCCCCCCCCCCCCCCCCCCCCCCCCCTTTTGCCTCCCCCCTTTTTTTCCTTCCCCCCTTTTCTTTTTCCACCCCCCCCCCCCCCCCCCCCCCCCCCCTCCCCCCCCCTTTTTCTTTCCCCCTTTTCCCTTCCCCCCTTTTTTTTTTTTTTTTTTTTTTTTTTTTTTTTTTTTTTTTTTTTTTTTTTTCTTTTGGCAATCCAAAAAAGGGGGGGGAGGGCCCACCCAAAAAAATTTTTTTTTTTTTTTTTTTTTTTTTTTTTTTTTTTTTTTTTTTTTTTTTAACCCCCCCATACCCCCCCCCCCCTTCCTTTTTTCCTTTTTTTTTTTTTTTTTTTGGTTAAAGGAAGGGGGGGGGGGGGGGGGGGGGGGGGGGGGGGGGGGCCCCGGGCCCCCCCCCCCCCCCCCCCCCCCCCCCCCCCCCCCCCCCCCCCCCCCCCCCCCCCCTTTTTTTTTTGGTTTTTTTGGGGGGGGTTTTGGGGGGGTTTTTGGGGGGGGGGGGGGGGGGGGGGTTTTTTTTTTTTTTTTTTTTTTTTTTTTTTTTTTTTTTTTTTTTTTAACCCCCCCCCCCCCCCCCCCCCCCCCCCCCCCCCCCCCCCCCCCCCCCCCCCCCCCCCCCCCCCCCCCCCCCCCCCCGGGCCCGGGGGGGTTTTTTTTTTTTTTTTTTTTTTTTTTTTTTTTTTTTTTTTTTTTTTTTTTTTTTTTTTTTTTTTTTTTTTTTTTTTTTTTTTTTTTTTTTTTTTTTTTTTTTGGGTGGGGGTTTTGGGGGGGGGGGTGGGGGGGGGGGTTTTTTTTTTTTTTTTTTTTTAATTTTTTTTTTTTTTTTTTTTTTTTTTTTTTTTTTTTTTTTTTTCGTTCAAAGTCAACATAAGCTACTTCGTAGGCACAAATTCTATTCACTAGTGTCATTTAATGTCCTATTTTGTGACATGCGAAGAAATCGCAATATAGTACGTAAACAAAACTAACCCCGTATAATTTAGACTGGCGTTTTTAATACTGCATACACATCTAAACTTTTGAATTAAAAGTAATAGTAGTTGGTGTAAAACTTACCATACTTCTAACACTAGTGAATCTTCGTGAACATTTCCGGACATCGGCCTGTAAATGTATTAACTTATAAATATCATCAATAAATCGAAATACAGATAGATTAAATTTAAATATATATCATTGAATATATAATTCTTATATATAGCAATATAGAATATTACTTCTTCCAACATGAACTTTTACAAATACTTTTTAGACCTTGATTATATTGTTATTAATGAAAAATGTCGCTATTAATTTATTGTGATCCTAAGCTAAATTCCAACTGACAAGACACAAGAAAATAAATCCTTATAAGATTGACAAAATTGTACATAAAAATAGATAATCTTAAATCTTCTTTATCATTTCTCTATTTATATTCAATCCTGTTTTCTTTTTAAACGACAATTCGTGGAAGTAAAACATCTGATGCATAGGTAATTCACAACGACCTTGCACTGCAGTTAAATTTCTGTTACTGTATCGTAAAATTAGTAACAGCGTGAACTAGACACGGTAAATATACATTAAGGAAAGGGGATTAATTTATAATATGGAAATTAGACGTATTGGTTCTGTAATCTGCAAACTTTATTTACAGAAACAGGCAACTAAAACTTAAGTGTAATTACTGTAATCACTTAAAGAAATAGTCATTGTTTAGGGGACGGGGCAATGCGCTGATCACCTCGCTAATAAATTATAAATCTAAGAAACTGATACAGAGATGTAAGTGCCCATGCGTCACTTCAAATAATAAACATACTTACAGTGAGAAATGTTCTTCCCAAACAGGATTTAATGTACTTGCTTTAACAGACGTATTATATCTATGTGCTGTATTGGAAGTGAGGTATATTGTCACGAAGGGATCACTTAACCCATTTGGGTCTTTAGGAACTAAATCTTTCCCCTCAATAACTTCAACATTTAGCATCAGTTCTGGGGGCTCTTTGGCCTCAGCTTGGGTTAACAGTTCTGTATGTTTCTCATTTGAGATCTTGAACGCCTCTTGGACATATGAAAGCATCACTTGACTCCCCACTTCACAGCCTATGTCACATCCGCCGACATTGTGTAAAATTTCATACAGCACTTCCAAGTAGAGTTCATCGACCTATAAAAAAGTTAATCTAAATAATGAAGGTCATACCACGTTTATTAATTAGGTTTTCTATTACATTAATTTAAAAAAATACCACGTAGTATTAGGTCGATACCGGAAATGTAAATACTTTATGATGATTTCAAATTAAGAATGCTTCGTGTAATTTAAAGTTACGAGCGGTTTTGATCTTTTTCAAAGAGAGCGTCTATAAACAAACAAAACACTAAAGACATACCGAAGAATCGTAATAATACACTAGTTTCATTAATTCAGTACCAATACACTTTTTAATTTCGCTTCCGCGTTTCGTTCAATAACAAGGGTTGCTAAGGTAAACCCCAAACAAACCATTCAATCAATTGTAAACCGCATATAATACTGTCGATAAAATGCAATATTTTATAGTTCAGTACTTAGTGCGCCGTCGTGGGAAAATTGATCTAACGGAAAACTGGTGGTTTAGATTTACTGACCTACTGCATAATGGTAGCTTTGTTCCCAAATTGCTAATTGCTCGACTTTAATGTGTTTAAATAAGAACAATGTACCTACATTTCTTTGACAACTTATTTTTAAACGCTGAAGTCATTGCCGTTCTTTAAAAGACAAGTCTAGTCACCAAACATTTCCGGTTACCAAAATTTAAATCAAATTAAGTCCAATCGATATTTACATACAGTCATTGATTGTATGATCATGCTAGTCTGCCGTTCCAGAATCTCCTTTTTTACACCCCTAAACATCCGAGTCCGAAGCGTCCCTGTTCCGTTCATTGTCACTTTCACACACTATCAGCACTTTATAATAAAATTTTCATATAACAATTCATGCTGAACGTCAGGTTAGATAACAGATATGAATCTGCTGCGATCCGTTTCTGAACTGACGAGTCTGGCTGGGAATCGGGATTCGAACATGACTGATTCTATTTTCGCAAGGCGCCGCCAACGTATATTCGACCAAATAATAAAAAGTTATTTTATATACTCATTTAGAAACCTTTAATATCTCGAGAACTGTAAAACTCATAAAACCTAAGTATAATTTTTATTAAGGAGTATTTATGATGGACTTCTCTATCGTAACGTTTCGTTAATGGAAAAATAGATTTATGCGCTCTTCAATTACATATAATAACCCATAAAGCAGTACATTAGATGTAGAAATGAGAATCTATTGCGGGCCGCTTGAGCTATAAACTATGATATATATTGCATTATATATTATTATGTATTAAATTAAATAACTTTGTCTTGCAATTTTTTCTTTAATGTATTAATCAGGTCTCAAAATACAGAAAACTGTAGTCTGTATGTAGTCCGCCCCTTGTCTTGCAAGTCTCGCACCTTTTAAGAATTGGAAAATATTATGACTGTTATAAACAATCATAAGATAAACATGCTAAAAGTTGCTTCTTAACCCACTTTCTCATACTTCGATTAATAAAATATCTAAAACTATTCGTTAAGACTTCATGTTTACAATAAAGTAAGTGGTGTTGGTACAATAAACACGTAACCATCCAAGGTCCTGAGTTCGGTGCGTGCGCACGTGTTGAAGCATTTATTTTATCAACTAGTTTACATTACTATCGGCTTATTTATAACAGATCGGTTAAGACTTAAGAGAATAATGAAGTCTGAATTTTATAACAATCTGCAAAATACATACATGAGTAATGACTATTACAACCATATGAATGTTATATACCTAAAATTTTAATTAAGAAGGAAGCTAATCGCTCAAGTATAAAAAAGACGTCATTTAATGAGTAATGCTTTATTCCTCTTGATTTGCATTACTGAGTTATTTGTATTAACGATTATAAAGACTTTATAGTAACAAATCCGTGAACAACTATTATATAGACGTAATGCAACTTGAGAATATCCAGACTACGTAATCTAGATGTTTTAAACAGATTATACATTAAATATAATTCTCTTAGTAATAATGTTTGTTTTGCTTATTCCCGTAATATAACATGGTAAGGTGATTTATTCTATATAAAAACTGATAAAGAGATGCGAAAGTGGCCTACCTATTATATACTCTACCAAGTCTAAGACCGAAAAATCGACGGTGTGTCTGAGAAAAGCCCAATTACCGACTCGGTTTTTTGTATGAGTAAGGACCCCTTACGTAAGCATTTTTTTAATATTCATACTTACAATTTTTTATATAAGTTTGTAATCGTTTAAAGGGGATTGACATTCAAACGCATGGGTATTCTTGGGCATATCAACCTTGGCATGAAAGTTGACAAAATTACTGATGAAAATAAGTTGGCAAATTGCCACTACTTGACCATTATGCTACCATTCGAAGAGTGTCAATGTTCTAACCAGGTGGTTGACCTTCGTATACAACTTTTTCAAATTCCAATTCCATTCTTTGCTATCTGTTCTATATAATGAAAACAACCGATATTCCAAATGTCTAAATCCGCTCAGGATTGGTGCTCATCATATTTGTTTAAAACAAATTTTTATGTTTATTTATAATAAAAGAATATATATTTACTAGGGTGCCTATCAAAATTTGGCCGCCATTATTTTTAATTAAATTATTTTTAATTGATTTTTGGTAAAGGATTGCGTTCATTTATTATTTAAATAAAATAACTCTAATCACGGTAATTAATGAAGATTCTAAAATCACGGTCCTGCGCACATGGCCCACCTCTTCACAGTTAAAGGTATGATTTCGATAAATTTATACGTTTATAACCTATTTTTATTAATTATATGTCAAATTAAGCAAATTTTTTTCTATTAATTATCATATAAAGTTGCTTAATTAAATCTGCCGCAAATAAGGGCTACTGGCTGTTAAAGATAATAAATATTTAAGGTAGAGTGAAAGAGAGTCCTTCTTTGTCAACGATACACATTGTCGCTGTGCGACCTTAACCATTCGCATGCGTCAATTAGTTTCTCAACCACCGAGTTGAACACTTATAATAAATACTCCAAAAATATGTAATTTTTTTCAAAATACAAATTTAAAAATTGCAACAAAAAATTAATATTGATTTGATATTCGACGGTCTAGTAGCAATTTTCTAACTCCTTTTTTTTTACAGGTTTTTTAACACTTTGATGAAGACATAATCCAATTACAAATTATTTGAATGATTCAAACTTAAAAATTATATCTCTATTAGATATTAATGATATTAAATGGTTTTTAAAATGATAATAAATTTTGAAGTCATTGTTTTTTTTTACAAATAAAAGATTCTCTAAAATGGAGTTAGATAATTTGCTAATTAGAACGTCGATATTTAATATTAATTAAAAAAAATAAAACAAGGTGATTAGTAAAAGAAAATTTTATTGCGAAAGTATTATTTAAAAATTTTATTAGATTTTATTCAAGTAATTATTGTCTATTCATATTAATTAAACATTTAACAAATTAAAAAATTAAAAAAATAATCTTATAACTCTTATATTTCCGTAACTCTTATTTAAAAATCTGAATCATCAGCTTTCTGTTGTACTATCATCGAGCTATCACTTTATCCTACAAATTCAGAATCGTCTTATCGGTACTTTTTCATGGATTCACATAGCACACTATTAACTTCGTTGGAGATGAGTCTCCCAGGAACCATGTTGGTTTTAAAAAACATTAGTACCAGCCACCATTCTGGGCTAATTTGTTGCAATTTTTAAATTTGTCATTTTGAAAAAAAATACATTTTTTTGGAGTATTTATTATAAGTCGTCTCTATTACTCCCCGGTGGTTGAGAACACTAATTCGACGCACCAATGGCTAAAAGCGTCGCCACCACATCGCTGTCCTCGTCTACAATTTTCCCTAACTCTCTTTCCTCTACCTTAAATATTTTTATCTTTAACAGCCATAGCCCTTATTTGCGGCCAGATTTAATTAACAACTTTTATGATAATTAATAGAAAAAATTTCTTAATTTACTATAATTTAAAAAAATAGGTTATAAACTATAAATTTATCGAAATCATACCTGTTTACACCTGCTGCAAAGAGGTGCGCCATGTGCCAACGGCACCCGTGATTTTTAGAATCTTCATATTAATTACCGTGATGTAGACGTTATTTTATTTAAATAATAAATGAACCATTTTTTACCAAAAATCAATTAAAAATAATTTAATTAAAAATAATGGCGGCAAATTTTGATAGGCACCCTATAAATATATATTCTCTTAATTATAAATAAACATAAAAATTTGGTTTTAAACAAATAGCGATAGCCACCAATCCTGCAGCGGGATCTCGTACTAAAAATCAAAAAAAATAAGCTATACATAAAAAATACTAACAGACTACTATTACAAATACTTTTTGTCTATGATAGGTATTTGTACAGTCCAGGGACCATGGGGTGGACACATTTTAATTTTTTAAGTCAACTTGGTTGCCATGGAATCTATTTTCATCGGGAACGGAACTTAGTTTTACGCCACAGTGCCACCACTAAACTACAAAACCGAGAGTTATGTTTTATTTAAAACAATATATAAATATCATATAATTCTTAATCAAATAAATGCATGGCTACATTAATAAATACAAAATTTGTAAAAATTTTAATTAGCAATGAATTCTCTGATCTGTGATTATTTATAGGTATGAACCTTCTGTACCAAAAGGAATCAATTATTATTGTTTAAGGGTGAAATATATAAACGTAACTCAAGGAGCAAGTTAAGCTTACGCTAATAAAGTATAAATAAGCTTACATTCCATCCAACAGCTTCAACATAAAAATCGAACTTCTCAGGATCCTCTGGTTCGGAATCTGTATCAAGAAGTGTTTCATTGCCACTATCAGAATCTCTGGTAATACTTCTACTATCTCCTACTTCTGCTATTACTTTCTGTTCACCATCCTGTTCTTCAGCCTCTTTTAAAGGCGCAAGTGGAGTTGATTCTTCTAAAGCAGCTTTCTGTGACACTTGTTTTAATATGGAACCAAATTTCTCAAAGAAACTGTCATCAACTTCTTGGATTCTGCAAGCAATTTTTATCATTAAAATACATCATTTGTTTAAGAAATATATTATGTTAATAGTGAAGTATGTGAAGTAATCATCATCAACCCTTTGGTTAGATTAGTTAAGAAATGAAAACAAAATATCAAGTCAAATTATTTATTTTATCTATATAAGAGATTACAATGTGGTATTACAATTAAATGCTTGATAAATGCTTATTTCCATGTACTAGATACAAGACAAATACATAGCATAACATCCATAACTTGCTTCATGTATTGCCCTAATATAATTTTAAACTATCATCACATTTTCTGGAAGACTGGAATAGTACAATAGCAAACATTTTCCTTAAGGTTATACATAAGTTATTCTTTATATATTTCTTGATTATCGTATAATTATTTGTCCAAAGCTGAAAAGAGTGTATATTTTATATCAGTATACTCCTCAGCTCCGTGTTTGCTTCCTTCCCTTCCTATACCAGATTCCTTAACTCCTCCAAATGGTGGTTCAGCACTTGATAAAACACCATCATTTATGGCAACCATACCAAACTCAAGCTGACGAGACATTCTGAATGCCTGACCAAGATCTTTTGTAAAAACATATGATGCTAATCCACTTTTAGTGCTGTTAGCAATTTCCAAGGCCTCACTCTCAGTCTTAAACTTAAGACAAACAGCAACTGGTCCAAATATCTCCTCTTCATATATTTTCATTTCCTTTTTAACATTTATTAGCATTGTAGACTCATAAAACTTTTCTCCGATGCTTTTTGCAATTTTTCCACCAACTAAGACTTTTGCACCCTTGGAAACAGCATCATCAACTAAGTTAGATACACTCTTGACTTGAGCATCATTAATTAGGGGCCCACATGTAACACCTTCTTTATTACCAGGCCCCAATATGCAACGGTCCTGAATTTTTGACTTGAAGCACTGCACAAATTGATCAAATACATCTTGGTGTATCAAGAACCTATTTGCTCCAACACATGCCTGCCCATTGTTTCTGAACTTAGCCAACATAGCTTGATCAGCTGCATGATTTATATCAGCACTAGGAAAAACAATAAATGGGGCATTTCCACCTAGTTCTAATGAAACTCTCTTGATACCTTTAGCTGCCATTCCATACAATATCTTGCCAACATTTGTTGAACCAGTAAAGGAGATGCATCCAACTTGAGGGTCTTCACACAAAACTTTCCCGACACCAGGAGCATTCTTCCTACTTGAAGTTATAACATTAATAACACCTTTTGGTACACCAGCCTGCAAAGCTAACTCTACTGCAGCTAGAGCTGTTAAGGGAGTATCTTCAGCTGGCTTTATAACACATGTACAACCAGCTGCTAAAAGTGCTCCAACTTTACGAGTTATCATAGCAAAAGGAAAATTCCACGGTGTAATTATTGAAACAACACCAAGAGGGTGTCGTGTTACCATGATATGTTTGTTAGGCCAAGGACTTGGGATAACCTCTCCGTTTATATGACGAGCTGTATCAGCATACCATTCCAAAAAGGAATTTCCGTAAACAATTTCTCCTTTTGATTCAATCATAGGTTTCCCAGCTTCTGCTGTAATAATTTCAGCTAAATGTTCAGTGTTTTTTTGACAATTATCAAACCATTTTCTAAGTATAGATGATCGTTCCTTTGCTGTGGTGTCTCTCCAAGTTTTAAAAGCACAAGCAGCAGCATCAACCGCCGCTTTAGCGTCACTTGCATCCATATCAGGTACATCAGTTATAACTTTGTCGTTCGCCGGGTCTAGCACCGGAAAAGAACCATTGTTCTTAGCGTTTACCCACTCTCCATTTATATAACCTTGTTTCTTTAGTAAATGAAGATGTCGATACTCCATAGTTATAATAGTTTGTTTTGAAAGCAACCCACCACGAATAAAACTCATTTTAAAGTGACTTGAGTTTAGTCGAAAAATAACAGTTTCAAACGATAAGATAACTGTTTACATATCACGGTCTCAGAGGTTGTCAGAGGACTCTACGATAAGGAAACCAATCCAGTCCAATTTATTAATTTGATCAATATTCATTCTCGTTATGAACTACATCCTCCGACCAAATCTAATACATGTTACAAGTCAATTGTCAAACAAAGCTGTCTGAAGCTGTTGACCATCAACGTCAAGTTTTATGATACACATCTCGATGCGAATAGCGCCATCATTTAAACGAATTCTGTATGACTAAAATAAATACAACCCAAAAATTTTTTTAATCTAAACCAATATTTTAGTTATTAACATTAAATATTCAGCCTTATTAATTCAGTCATTTGGCTAACAAAACTTCTATCTTCTTCTTAATAAAGTTATTTTATTCTATTATTTTACTTTAATACAGCCAAGATAATTTAAGACCTATTTAAAAGACAAATCAAAATAATGATATCTGTATATACTATAGATATATAATCTTTACGCCAAGACTACGTCTAATTAGTGACAGTGTAAAAAAATCCTATTACTTAAACGTCTATTATTGTTAAGCAGTAATAGTACGGAGGTAGCAACGTTTGAAAAGAAAGAATTTTAGGTCAGCTGATTTTGTGATATGTCTTCCTTCTTGCACTTCCGGTTAGAGTCTGGGCGTCTGGCTGGCGGTAGCGGTTGCGTTCATTAGTGCGCATCCTATCTGTCCAGGTAATAATCCTGGATTTTAAAAGCATTTTAAGAAGCGTAATTTTTGATTTTTCCTTTTTAAATACGTCTACCTGACATACTTTTTTTATTGCCAGACATTTTTCACGTTGCTAACTATGTGCCAGACGCGATTTTAAGTTTTATTTTTATAAAAATTTCAAAGCATTTTAGAATGTCTGTAATTTTAATATGATGTTATTTAAATATAAGAAAAACTGAAAATGAATTTGCCAGACATTAATTCGATTGTTAAGTCTTGAATTAAAATGATAAAGTATTGCAGTATGATGAAGCATTGCATTTTAAGAAGCGTAATTTTAGATTTTTCCTTTTTAAATACGTCTACCTGACATACTTTTTTTATTGCCAGACATTTTTCACGTTGCTAACTATGTGCCAGACGTGATTTTAAGTTTTATTTTTATAAAAATTTCAAAGCATTTTAGAATGTCTGTAATTTTAATATTATGTTATTTAAATATAAGAAAAACTGAAAATGAATTTGCCAGACATTAATTCGATTGTTAAGTCTTGAATTAAAATGATAAAGTATTGCAGTATGATGAAGCATTGCATTTTAAGAAGCGTAATTTTTGATTTTTCCTTTTTAAATACGTCTACCCGACATACTTTTTTTATTGCCAGACATTTTTCACGTTGCTAACTATGTGCCAGACGTGATTTTAAGTTTTATTTTTATAAAAATTTCAAAGCATTTTAGAATGTCTGTAATTTTAATATTATGTTATTTAAATATAAGAAAAACTGAAAATGAATTTGCCAGACATAAATCGATTGTTAAGCCTTGAATTAAAATGTAAAAGTCATGAAAAGTATTGCAGTATAATGCTTGTAGTACGAGCATAAAAAGGAATATAAAATTTGATTAAAATTAATAATCAACACTTTATTTAAATTGTCCTAATTACTAAATGTAAGTTATGAATAATTAATATTGAGTTTTACAAGTTGTTTTAGCCTATAGTGACGTCACAAAAAGAGGCATCTTCATAATCATCATCATCATCGTCGCTGTCTTTGTCGGTGTCATTCATATCATCTTCTTGGGAACTTTCGTTATCTTCTAAATCATCTGCAACAGAAAAAAAATAAACAGTGTAATTTTATTGTTCGTTATTAACCATTTTAGTTATTATTGATAAATGTTCCATTTAACACTTACTTTGAACAATAATATCTGCAACTGAGGATGGTAATTGATCTCCCAAAAACCAAACAAAATCATATTTGTCACCGTTAATGGTCCACCCAAAAGCCATTGGAGATAAAGATGTTGGATGTTTTGAGTGAGCTATTCTCCAAATTTTCGTCACGTAACGAACCCTCAATAAATGCTGTTCCAATTCCACTTTACAGGGTGGCAAACTGGATGAGTCAAAGTTTCGAAATTTTTTGTCAAAGTTCTCATCTGATTTTTTTGACTTAAACGTACTTGAAAATAAATGAAATCGAACATCATTAACAATCGAACAATTTTTAACTCCATACATTTGACAAATAAATTTCTCCAGGGTTACAAACGTAGTTTCAAGTACTTCTTTATCATCCGAAATTATATTATCAAAAGCTAACTGGTATTCCTCAGAATTTTCTAATATTTTAAAAGGCTTAACTTTGCCTTTTCTAAAAAAGCTGGCGTGTAATCACATCCGGTGATTGCGTGGAAGCATGGTAAAGCTTTGCATAAAGAGTCACCAAGAATTCGGTACAATTCATTGATGTTTATGTAACGCTGATGATTTCCAACACCCATATTTATCCAAATTTTCAAAGATTTTTTCAGGTGATCCATATTTCCCAGAAGTATAATTAAAATATCAGAATCAGAACAGCGTATAACAACTTCTGCGTCAAAATCGATTTGGCAAATATGAAAAATTATCCTAGAATCAGCTTCTTCGTGTTCTTCACACGATAATGATTCTTCAATAGTTTTAATTCAAGACTTAACAATCGAATTAATGTCTGGCAAATTCATTTTCAGTTTTTCTTATATTTAAATAACATAATAATAAAATTACAGACATTCTAAAATGCTTTGAAATTTTTATAAAAATAAAACTTAAAATCGCGTCTGGCACATAGTTAGCAACGTGAAAAATGTCTGGCAATAAAAAAAGTATGTCAGGTAGACGTATTTAAAAAGGAAAACGCAAAAATTACGCTTCTTAAAATGCAATGCTTCATCATACTGCAATACTTTATCATTTTAATTCAAGACTTAACAATCGAATTAATGTCTGGCAAATTCATTTTCAGTATTTCTTATATTTAAATAACATAATATTAAAATTACAGACATTCTAAAATGCTTTGAAATTTTTATAAAAATACAACTTAAAATCGCGTCTGGCACATAGTTAGCAACGTGAAAAATGTCTGGCAATAAAAAAAGTATGTCAGGTAGACGTATTTAAAAAGGAAAAATCAAAAATTACGCTTCTTCAAATGCAATGCTTCATCATACTGCAATACTTTATCATTTTAATTCAAGACTTAACAATCGAATTAATGTCTGGCAAATTCATTTTCAGTTTTTCTTATATTTAAATAACATAATATTAAAATTACAGACATTCTAAAATGCTTTGAAATTTTTATAAAAATACAACTTAAAATCGCGTCTGGCACATAGTTAGCAACGTGAAAAATGTCTGGCAATAAAAAAAGTATGTCAGGTAGACGTATTTAAAAAGGAAAAATCAAAAATTACGCTTCTTAAAATGTAATGCTTCATCATACTGCAATACTTTATCATTTTAATTCAAGACTTAACAATCGAATCAATGTCTGGCAAATTCATTTTCAGTTTTTCTTATATTTAAATAACATAATATTAAAATTACAGACATTCTAAAATGCTTTGAAATTTTTATAAAAATAAAACTTTAAATCGCGTCTGGCACATAGTTAGCAACGTGAAAAATGTCTGGCAATAAAAAAAGTATGTCAGGTAGACGTATTTAAAAAGGAAAAATCAAAAATTACGCTTCTTAAAATGCAATGCTTCATCATACTGCAATACTTTATCATTTTAATTCAAGACTTAACAATCGAATTAATGTCTGGCAAATTCATTTTCAGTTTTTCTTATATTTAAATAACATAATATTAAAATTACAGACATTCTAAAATGCTTTGAAATTTTTATAAAAATAAAACTTAAAATCGCGTCTGGCACATAGTTAGCAACGTGAAAAATGTCTGGCAATAAAAAAGTATGTCAGGTAGACGTATTTAAAAAGGAAAAATCAAAAATTACGCTTCTTAAAATGCAGTGCTTCATCATACTGCAATACTTTATCATTTTAATTCAAGACTTAACAATCGAATTAATGTCTGGCAAATTCATTTTCAGTATTTCTTATATTTAAATAACATAATATTAAAATTACAGACATTCTAAAATGCTTTGAAATTTTTATAAAAATACAACTTAAAATCGCGTCTGGCACATAGTTAGCAACGTGAAAAATGTCTGGCAATAAAAAAAGTATGTCAGGTAGACGTATTTAAAAGGAAAAATCAAAAATTACGCTTCTTAAAATGCTTTTAAAATCCAGGATTATTACCTGGACAGATAGGATGCGCACTAATGAACGCAACCGCTACCGCCAGCCAGACTGCCCAGACTCTAACCGGAAGTGCAAGAAGGAAGACATATCACAAAATCAGCTGACCTGGAATTCTTTCTCGAAAACGTTGCTACCTCCCGTACTATAAGCACCCATTTTCGTAATAAATAAAGTGGGTATCTTGTACCTGTAGGTATAAAATAGAAATATCAAATGAGTATTTGCTAATTATTTTATAGACACTCCAAATCAATGGTATTTAAAACGCTGACAAATCATTGAGGCCAATCGCCTTTATGAAACTTTCTCTGGACCGGATACGAAATTTATAATAAATATTATGGTACATACCGACTTTCGTGAACTTGTTCTTCTACAGATTTTTGCTGTTGCAACTTATCATAAAAACTTTTCCACATTGTTTCTTCATCCATTTTTGTAAAAAAAACCTTATTTCTCAACGAAATATATCAATTGTAGGCGTTTCGTGAGTCGAAGCTACCATAACAAATAACAATATGCAGATAAATGAATCAGTTAGCGATCACGAACGAGTCATGCTCAGAGAAATGACGTAAACACAAACAACCTGGCGAAGACGTTTGGCGACTACGAATAAATATTCGGTCGCCGCTTATTTCTTCCTCTTAG